GCCAGTGCGTTGAGTTGAGACACCTCCTTTGAAAAGATGGTGGTCCGTTGCACTAGAATTGTTGGGCTCCATAGGCATCTTTCAAGCGCACCCATATTCCCAATGAGGGTTTGACTTTGGGGAAAACAATAGGCCCCTTTGACTACACAAACTGAGCTGATCAGATGCAATCCACAAGGTCCTTCAAAAGGATTATATCTATGTCCATTGTAGTGGTCTTCCAGTGGGGATGTGTTTCCGTTGAATACTAGGATATGGTGTGCGTACGTGACCTGACTTGAGGCAACTTGAGCAACCATGCCTGTGGAGCCCTTTTACCCTTTTTTGGGGGAGGGTTCCCCTACTAAAGTCGACTACAGAAAAAATAACACCCTAAAACTGAAGTGTGAGCCGAAATGTGCCGTGAAGTACAAGACGCCCCGCTGTAGCCATGGGTGTGCCCTGGTGAAAATTCCTTTACTTGGGGTTTTGCCAGGGATGGTCATCCACCTGGTAGGTTTGGATCCTGAACCAGTATGATTCCTATGAGAACCATGACCGTAGGCCTCAGTGGCAATGACTCGTATTCAGCATCACGGGGGCTGCCGTTCGAGAAAGCGAGGTGAGCCCAATTGGGAGCTGCCCTTTCAACAGTCCTGCCAGAGCGAGACGACGCGCGGGCCCCCAAATGGCCGTCGAGAGCGGTGGAGGGTCTGATGAGAATCGAAATGGAATCAACCCGGTCCTGACAATCAAAAAGCATGTCACGGCTTTCACGTGAATCATGTTTGGTTACTGATTTTGCTTCATGTTGACATGGTCATATCATAGTCGCAACAGACAATGAGGGTCTGTGACCTCGCCCACGAGGGGAATTGCCATGATTCATTTAGCAGTTGAGTTGTATGATACGTCAAGATTTAAGACGTGGCATTTTAAAGGGCTGGATCGCCTCTTGGCTCTTCACACCTGTGCCCTTGGGCTTTTAGGCTTTTAGAGTTTAGTGGTAGTTGCCACTAAACCACCAAACCTTTTCCAAAACTCTTAGCAGGGGATCAGTTCTGACAGCCCAGTGAAAGGATCGCAGGTACTAAAGTTGCTCAACATCCCTCATGATATGATATGGTTTTTGGATGGCCAAAGACGTGAAAGGCCAAAGGGCAGCCAGCTAATTTGCAGAAACACAGAAGCACCTTTTTTGGGGGGTTAGTGGTGTCTAGATCCTGTAATTGAAGCTTGGACCATGACATACTTGCGTTGATATGACCGACTAAGGAGCAACACGTTTCCTGCATCCTTGTTCTTTTTCTCAGAGCTGCTTGCTCAGTTTTTGTTCATCTTGATGTTCTCCTTATCAGGGGTTCCTCCATTCCCTTTGTTTCCACGCCTTCGAAACTGTCCAAACAGTACATTGCAACCTTAGGGAAAACCTCTGGGTCACAGGAATGTAAGCGGGCTCGAACAGAATCGGGCCTGAGGCTGGCGAATGAATGGCAAGTTGCCTGTACCAAGGTTAGGGAGGCGAGCTGGAAATGGTTCACCGGTTCGCTGAGCACTTCGCCAACTCCCGTTCCGTCTAAGCAATACGCCTACTGCGCCTTTGGCAAATTTGGACACCCCTGGATTCCACAAGCAACAACCTTGTTTAGCTGTGTCAAGTAAGCCACTCAAGAGAGCCGCCGGGAGTCCAACTCTTCCAAAGAGCCTCTCAAAGGCTTGGGTGGCAGGAAATTCTGCAGGAAAACAGCTGATTTAGGTTGTTGTGGGGCCATTTCTTGTAAAATGCTGCAACCAAGCCCTTTGATCCTCTACAAATGGGATCTGTCTGGGGGTCCATATTAAATTGCAGAGCTGTAACAAGACCACTGGGGGGGGGGTTCTTTCCCTGGCATCTTATGACATAATGACCTACTTAGTACCCAACTAGGTCCCCCCATAGCGCCCTTTTACCTTGTTTTTGGGGAGGGTTCCCCTACTAAAATAGAGTACAGAAAAAGGGTACCCTTATTCTAACCTCTCTACTGGAGGACCTAGGCAACTATGTGAACAACGTTTAGTATTCCCTTTTATCTGCAGACGTAAGGCTTAAGGTGGACGACATGAGGCACGGTCACCAACTTTACGAAGGATTCACATTTTTTGCAAGGAGCACTGTTGCTTGACTGCGCGCCAGCATCTCCTCGTCACACTGCCAGTGGGTTGCTTTCTTTTTTCAGAAGGTGTTCCTCTAAACTCGATGAACAAAAGAAGAGTGCCACTCTTTTAGCATGGACATCCACTGGGGGTCTGGGTGTGCGAGCTTGGCGACATGATGACACGCAATGTCTTAGGTGGCAAATGGTATACTCGCGGTTCTGTTCAAGCATTGTTTGTTTCAACCACCAGCAGTTTTCAGAGTGTTGCGGTTTTCTTCTAACAGGAATCCCTGCAAAACAATGTTGGAAAGTTACCCATGGACACATGTCAAGCTTTTAGCAGCTTGACTGTTTGATTACCGGATGACTTGCTTTGAGCAGCTCAGCGCCAGGATGTGCCCGTGCAACGATGTCTTCGAGTACAGCTGTGTGAGCCCGAAGCTGTCGTGCGCAGGTTGGCTTTTGAGACACTTTGAGCCAAAACCGCACAAATATGGGGGGGTTGATATCAACAGGTGCTTGACATGGGATGTCCATTGGGGCAAGCCACTAAGAAGATGATTTGTCCAAATGGGAAAGGTTGCCCACGGTTAAAACTGGGGGCCCTGAATGGAGTATTGATTTCACCCCCCATTGATCAAGCAACACCCTGAGTCGTGAAGAACTGCGAAGGGCTTGAGCTCGGAGGTGCTAAGGTGCAGCCGCATTTCAGCTCGCAACTCAACTTCACAGTTTCTCAGTGTGAACCTATGATCCAATGTCTTGTAATCCCGTGGCTGTCCTTTGCTGAGCAGTTGCATAGAAACTGGTTGCATCAGAGACGCCGGAATGCGTCTCTGCGTATGTTTCTACTATACTCTGCCTGCGTTGTCGTGATGACGTTGCGACGACTCGCAGGGATAGGATCTTTTTGGGGCTTCAGCAGGCGCCTTGATGTTGATGGGTGGATTGGTAAGGTCACTGGAATTGATGTTCTGACTAAGATCATTACTAGTGACCTTGGCTCACACATGGCATTCCTTGATTCAATGAGCTGTGAGTCATCCAGACATCCCGCTTTTTCCCTGTTGCTTCCAATTTTCTTGTTTTTGAGAGGTTTTTCCTTTAAGATCGACCAACAGAAAAGGTTGCCAAGTCTTTTTGCCCCATGGCAATCCATTGGGGGGTTGGGGGGCAGATTCTTAATAAGCTGCTTTGACTCTCTCCTGAACGTCAGTGTTTATGTTTAAGCAAGCCCGAAACGGATACCCTCGAAATCTGGACGACATGTAGAGCGAGCTCAGCTGGCATAGGTAGGCAAATGAATTGCAATTTGGTCCAATCCCCCAAATTGCAAAAAATTGAACAGAAGTCCTTGCCCTGATTTTCCCTCAGTTCTGGGTTCTCGTAAAATCACGGACCCCACAAACGGCGGGTTTTCTGAGTTTTTTTCCGTCTAAAGAGTTCCCTTTGTCGCAACCAGCGATAGCCCAGGCCAAGACCTCTACAGCAGCTGGTGCCAGCCGAAAGTCTACGGGAACTGCCCCGTGTGCCCTGGACTTCGAGTTTAGCGGTTGAGATGGGAACGAGACATGGTGGCTCTGACCCCGAAAAAAGCATCCAACTGGTGGTTTCCTTTGAGGGAATCCTTAGGTTCATTTGAATCCTGTAAACAATCCAACTGGTGGTTGCCTTTAAGGGAATCCCAGAACGGTTCATTACCACACCCGGACTCGGTCATTCCTTACCTGTCGCACCAGCAAGAAGACCCGTGCCTATAGCCCCTCAAAATCTCAGGGTCGCCGCAAGCACAACACGCCGTGTGCTCGCGCCATTTCCCATGTGTACGCCTTCTTGCCACATTACGTTGTTTTTTTGTTGGGCGGGGAGGGTGGGTGCGGGGAGGCTGGGTGCGGGGTTGGTGTCGGCGATTGTTTGCCTTGTTGCTTCAAATATGTCTCAAGCCTGGTGTCAGCGTAGTTTCTTCTTGCCGGACATCAGTTGACTTGTGCAAAAGAGAGCGTTTGCTTGTTTGCGCTGCTTTCCAGCATGTGACTATCTACATTTGCGAACGTCAGCGGCGCAAGAGACCCAACTTTGGGTCGCTTAGGCCCTATTAAGACCCTCAAAGCGACAGCGGAGCTTTGTCTTCCGGAGGATCATTGACGTCAGACAAAGAATTTTCGGGTTAAGTGTAACTAATTGCACATGATGGCGTGACACAAGCCCACGAAGAGAACATAAGCCTTGCGATTGCGTCTAGGTTGCGGCCATCGTACGACGGCCCTGTTGGCTGGTTCTGGTATGAGGAGCTGGTATGACTGGGGGACGTTCGCAGAGGCCAACTAGAACCCCCCACGCAGGAGGCTTTGCATGGCCTTCTCAAAGGCTCTGGTGCCTTCTTACATGTGGTGTTGGCCTTCGCGGAAGCATTTGGGAGGGCCTCGCGGAAGCGGGGTTTGCCATGAACCCTCTAGGCAACGCCTCTTCTAAGAAAGCGTGCTACCGCCGCCGTGCGACTCCCTGGTTTGTTCCCTAAACCATAATTTTACCCGGCCTCTTTTAGTTATCCTCTTTTATTCGCCTATGTGAAAGCCTCAAGGGAGCCAACAGGTACCAGCCAGGTCTCATGGCGGGCAAGATTTCCGCGGTGCCAAATCCACCAAAGCGGGTTCCCCATTTTGAGAAACATCAATGTTCCCTTTACCCTCATCAGGGCTACTTAAATGATACATTTTGCCCATTTGAAACGTGGCTTTTTCCACCAGGGAAACACCATTTACAAGGCAATTGTCAGGTGTATAATGTAAGGATCCCTGCTCATTTCCTAGAACATGTAGACGGACCCGACCAATATGCCTTGAAGATGCGTGCGGATCCTGCTTGGCCTGAGGTTTTGCGGCGCCGATGAGTCGCGCGGCCGCAAGCGGAGTAGCCTGTGACCCCCGGAAAACAAGGAAAGCATGGTCGGAAACCCAAGGTGTTCAAGCCCAGCTGGTGAATATAAGACCCGCTTAATAGCAAGCCACCAATTTGGATGAAATGTTTTACCAGAGGCTTAGAGGTCTCTGCCGAGGCTCCGGATTGTCTCGGAGCAGCTTTCAGGGAGTGCGAGTTCCACGGGGTTTCGGGACTGTGACAGCCCCTTCCTGTTTCTCCCTGGCCTCTCGTTCGACATCAACATTTGCGTGAAGGTACAGCCTCCTATTCCGATTTAGGGTATCCCGTTTTCGTTTCTTTGTTTGGTTCGAACCTTTAATGGACAAGGCTCACTAATCCGCGTCCGACGCGCCCGTGATCCTAGGGGTGCCTTACTGTATAAGCGATTTGAGACCCCAATTTTCCAGAAAACCACCAAACGGCCGGCAAGAGCAATGGTGAAAAGGGAGACACTTCGGAACGCACCCTTGGAAACATTACAAAGTTAGATCGATTGATTGGATTTGAGGTGATGATGAAGGCCATTTTCCCCTTGCGCGGTAGCGGTGTACAGTGCTTGTGTGTCTGTGTGTGAGGATGCATGTGTTTGTTTGTTTATTTGTTTTTCTCTCTTTATTTATTTCTCTCTGTCTTTCTTTGCGTCTTTCTTACTTTAATTATGTATTTATTTCCTTCCGTCCTTTTTGTTTATTATTTCTTTCTTTCTTCGTTATTTATGTCTTCGTTTCCTTCCTTCCTTCCTTCCTTCCTTCCTTCCTTCCTTCCTTCCTTCCTTCCTTCCTTCCTTCCTTCCTTCCTTCCTTCCTTCCTTCCTTGATGTATTATGTGTCTCTTTGTTGATTGTTTGTTGTATTGATGTCTTTACTTGTGCTTGCTTGCTTGCTTACTTACTCGCTCGATTGTTTTCTGCATTTATGTGTTTCATAGTTATTGTTTTTTCCTTCAGTGATTGGTGGTTTGTTTGTGATGCTATTCATACGTATGTGTTTGTTTTGGTATAATTATGTATACATGTATTTGTGTGGTTGTTCTTTCCTTGTTTTTTATTTTTATTTTTATATATGTTTATGTTTTATTCCTTCCTTCCGTTATTGGTTCTGTCGTTATTTATTTGCGAGTTTGCTTTCTTGCTTGCTTGCTTGCTTGCTTGCTTGCTTATCCTGTGATTGATTTATTTGTTTGATTTGTGTTTGTGCTTGTGTGCTTCTGTGTGTTCGTTATTTATTTTGCTTGTTTGTTTCTTTGTTTGTGTGTTTGTTTTTTTGTTTGTTTGTTTGTTTGTTTGTTTGTTTGTTTGTTTCTGAAGAAACATAAGGTCCCTTGTTGGTGTCTTAGACGAGTTTGTTTGTGTTGTGTTGGGCACAGACGAAGTCCCAGGGAACTCGACACAGCCCCGACCTAAGCAGTTGATTTCCTTGATATGTTTTCCATCAGTCAAGGTTCCAATGTTCGAAACCCATGCCATCAGGACTGCCGACATAACCTTTCAATTTGCAGGTCCTGAGGGTAGGTGAGGGGTTGCTTCGCGGGCCTCGTTCGTTCGAAAAAACCAACGAGTGAAGACGCATTCCCAGCCCTTCTGGCTTTCGACCCCAGGATCACGTGCTGGGTTGCGCCATACACCGCCTCTTGGACGTGACGCAACGACTCCCCTGGAACGACGTGTCTTGAATTTTTCGGGACGCCCCCTCCGAGCAAAACAAAAGCAGGACACATTGACCTCCTTCAAGCCAACCTAAAAAAGGTACCCTCAAAAAAAAACAAGCCCCATTGACCCTATGAGGCCTAAAACAACCCTTGAGGGCCTGGAACAGATTCCACGAAGCTCATCCAAAACGAGGCTGGCAAGGGGTGGTTCCCGATATTCCCCTTTTGAACATAACCCCAGCATCACTTCGGAAGCCTTTGCGGATGTGTCAGATGGGCAGCTCGGGGCCTCCTGGTATAGGAACTTTGGAGCACCCCATACAAACTGTAATGGTGGGTAAAAGAGCGGGGTCGATGCAACAGACTCGGGCCGAAAAGAGGTACAGGGTGAAACATAAAAAGGGGAGGGCTTACAAAAAGGGGAGCCCCATCTCTTGGCAAAGCCAATGCTGAAGAAGTCTGTAGTGTTTCGGTCTGACTGACAGCTTCTGAAATGATGAGCAAGCAAACAAAATTCCAGTGCTCCAGATGCTTGCTTATCTAGTACAGTCTTCCATGACGCCCACTCCATGCCCTTCCAGCGTGCATACCAGTCGCAAACAGGCAACGCCTCACTTAGATTCCTTGCTGGCTCAAGAAGCACACCACATGGGTCAAATGCCAAATAGACGAATCAAGCAATTGTTCGATCCCAATTTAGGGAACAGTCTGGGGGGGTTGTTTCAAATTTCGGGAACCCCCCAAACAATCCTAGATCTTTATTTGGAATGTTCTTTTGGAAGACCCAGGATGGTTTGCTCTTTTGGTTGGGCCCCGTTAAACCAAAAAAGAAATCCAGCGACACGTGGGCCCAGCTTGCACGTCCAAGGAAGACGGGGAGAATGACTGGACTGCCCAGTGGTCGGAGGTCTGTGCTCCCGCATCCGAAGGCCTGAAGTGGCGATGTCTTGCTGTGATAGGCAGAGAATGAGAAATGCTTTCTGACCCCGAAGAACACCATCCAACTGAGGGTTGTCTTTTAAGGGAAACTATCCAACTGGTGGTTTCCTTTGAGGGAATCCTTAGGTTCATTTGAATCCTGTAAACAATCCAACTGGGGTTTCCTGTATAAAGGGATCCCCAAACGGTTCATTCCCAACACCCGGACTCGGTCATTCGCTACCTATCGCACCAGCAAGAGTTCCTTGGTTTCTTGTTTCGGAGGGGTTTGCCTCAATCTCAACCAACATGTGCTTTTTTTTCCGGTTTAAGTGTGGCGATTATTGTTTGTTTTCTTCTTCTTTTTTCTGAAATTCACTCGGGGGTCTGAGTTATCCAGCAGTGGTACGTCTTCTTCATTTCCTTTGGAGGGACTCCCAAAAAGGTTTCCCCTCTCTTTGTTCTCATTATTGCTGCCTTACCAAGGTCTGTTGAGAAGATTCGATGGGGAGCATGTGTCAATGTAGTCTTCAACACCATTAGACCACACCCAGCCACACTAACCGTCCCACAGCGGCCGACTTTGAATCAAGCAACCACAGGTTCCCTTTGAAGGAATCCCAAATTGGAGGTTGTTTGAGCAATAGCGGTAAGCATCTTTAAACAAACGGCATCATCGGTAAACCGCCACACGGGTACATGGCTCCGGGTGTTCCGCAGAAGGTTTTTCGCCATGGGACCCTGTGAATGGTAACCCCGGATTAATAGGCCTCTGGTTGATGAATAAGGATGTCCCCTTTGAGTGGGATTTCATCACTTTTGGCTCTACTCGGTTTTCACTAAGCCACAGCACTGGGCTGTTGGACTTCTCTGCGGCTTTTACGGGTTATTTTGAGGCATTGAACAGCGTGTGCTTGGGGAGGACTGTCAAACAGGATTAACACGCTGTTGCTTTTAGGTACATTCACATCCGGATTTTCCGACAGCCTCGTAGATTTCCGCTTACGTCTCTTTGGCTTCTATCGGATGCTTGAATACCCTGATGAGGCTTTTTGAAGAACACTTACGGACGGGAGTAACGGCAGCAAGTACCTTGCCCAGTGGCATGGGGTAATCTGAAGCGACTTGGTTGTTGGCAAAACTGCATCAAAATTAAGCCGGAATCCTCAGCCTACAGATGATACTCGGCCTCCTTGAACTCCCCAAGATGGGGGGGGTGTTTTCAGGGAATCAGGCTTAGGATTGGGATCCCTACTTTGAAGCAAGGAAAGGGGCGGTTAGGGGCCCTCTGATACCACAAGAGTCCACTTGAACGTGGCTACTCTGCAGTCAAAAGCACGTGCAGCCCATGTCGGCATCAAAGAACACGTTGCTTTCCAGAACTACGCGCAGAAACTCTCAGGAAAGGGAATTGGTGAATGTTTCCACGCGCAGGATTGCGAGAAAGTCGGGTTTTGCCCCGCTTTGCCGCCCGCCACTTCTAGTGATATCCGGGGAATCCGGGAGCCGTCAACCCCCCCCCTTCCCCGAGAATTATGAGGTGCATCATGCGGCAGGCCTGCAGACGGTCACTGTAGCTAGTTCCCACAGCCCTGAGGGTTTTGCAACGGTTTGATGTAGGCCCAGTTGGCGAGCAGAAGCAGCAACAGAAGCCAAGGAACAAAGAAACCAACCAAGCGAAGCCACGCAACCAAGCCACAAAACTCAAGAAAGACAACAAACAACCAGGAACAAACGGTCCAACAAAACGAATGAGTGTATCCGCCTGCGAAATCGCATCGCAGGTTGTCCCTGCAACGAGATGTGGGAGCAGCAGTGCACCGAGTTTGGCCAGAAGTTCTGCATTCCCAAGAGCGACCAATGTCCCTTGGCAGGGTGCGGCCATTATTTTGACTTCTAGGGCATTTAGAAGTCAGAACTTGGGTGGTTTTCCTTTAACACACCAATGGACCAAGGGGGTGGCTTTGATAATGATGGAATAAGGGGGCCAGAAGGTAAGGGTATTCCTTTGCAAATGAACCTGGAACCTCAAAAGGGGGTCCGCAAAAGGAGGCTTTCTTTCCTCCACCACCACCGCCCCCCCACCACGACCACCACCATCACCACCCTCACCACCAGGGATCCTTTTCTTCACGAGCACCCACCCGGGAAAGGCAGTTGGCACAAAGCACGATGGCTGAACCCCAAGGTAGGTCCATTCCATTCCCTTTCTTTATTCGCCGCCTCAAAGGAGTTGGCAGAAGCAAGCACTCAACATATGTTCACTTTAATTGAGACGGCAAATAGATGGCCCACACCAATGTCAATTCCAAGCAGCGCTGTGTGGTCGCCAATGCCAAGTGCACGTTTTGAGGCGATGTTTGGGAAGTGCCACCGAATCCCTTGGCAAGGAGGTCATGAACAACACGCTATAGTTTATGTCGACACACTGCATATCTCCCCTCATGTGGAGTATATTTGACATGTGTCCGCCCCCATTGTGGGGGTCCCTCCGTAAACAGGGCTCATACAGTCGAACGCACCAGCTAGGTGGTTCATCCCATTCGTTGGGGTCTATCCATCCAGGGCGCGACTGCCACAGACCCCAGGCGAGATTCGAGCCAGGTCCAGAATGTTCGTTGGGCGCAGGGGCTGAGGCTTATGACTTGGCAAGTTGGGGTGTGGACCCACCAAAATGGTGGGATGGTGGGTGTTCTCTTGGTTTCCATTTAAACAACCCAAACAGTTTGTACAAGGGGTACGCTCAACAAGACGACACGCCCTTTCGAGCCCGGCAGGCTTCCCCACAACTCAGACGAGCTTTTAACGAGATTCGGTGGGATGCCAAGGGAAGTGAGTTGGAACATTCGAGAAGAATTCAAGTTTCAACAATTGGACAGTCAATGCAACTGCAACCGATTCAGACTCGTGCTGAGGCCCCCTGGACTGCGGGGAGATGGGCCACTGCTGGCACTTCGACGGTCACTCGCCCCGGACGTGCGAAGCTTCGGGCTTCGGGGCGGAGGAAAAGGAAAGGACCCGACCTGCGGCGTTTTCTGGGGTCAGTATTTTGACTGTTTCTGGGGGTTATCAAAGTCAGAACATGGGGTTGCTTCCCTTTTTTCAAAGTCACCACTTAGGGGGTGACTTTGATCATGGCAAGATAATGAGGCCAGTGTTTTGGCCTCAACTTGAGTTGGTATGTCTTTCATTCCCGAGACGCTCAGTCTGCCAGTGGCAAGACTCCTGATGCCCGCAAGGGTCGAGTTTCTTTGTGGGGCTCAAGGGTCCATATGGGTCGGTTTTTTTTTGGGAACCCCTTTTTGGGTGGTAAAGGGAGACCAAGAGGAAAACCACCATTTTGGAGGGTCCCCTAAAAATGCCAAACCCCTATTCTTTTGTTGGAGACGCCCATTCAAAGTGGTAGACGTCTTTCTTGAGACGTCTTTGAGACCTTTGTGATCCGCTTTCTGTGGTACAATGGGTTTCCTGTGCGTTTCAACTGCAAAACCACCGTGGGGCCTGGGCCGAGTCAAACCCGGGTACACACCACTGGAGAAAAAAACCGCACGAAAACCTGCGAAAGCCGGTTCCACGCGCGGAAGGCGGAAATCGAATCGACTGAATCCGACCAAAACGGATCTCCCGTTTGTTTGCATGGTCATGGGCTGGCCTTTGGGCAATGTTGCTGTTGCTGTTGCTGTTGCTGTTGCTGGTGATGGTGGTGGTGGTGGTGGTGGTGGTGGTGGTGGTGGTGGTGGTGGTGGTGGTGGTGCTGGTGTTTGCAAAAGTAAAGCTGCTGGCTCAAGCCAGCGTATTGTATTTTTCTGCTTGAGCCATGCTTCACAAGTCACCGATCAAGCTCTCGAACTCGTGCCCTTTGATCAGCCGTAGCAATTCAGGGACTGAGGCCAATACAGGGAACACACATCGATGAACACATGTATATATGCATGTGTATATGCATCCATGTAGTCATACACATACATATATATGTATATTCATTGTTTGCCCTCAAGCCGGGCTTCAACCCTGCGTTTTCACAAGGCGAACAGCTTTGAACCAATGCCATTGCCTCGAACGAAACCAAAAGCGTGACATGATTCTTCGCCGACACCTACCAATGGCACGCTCGCTTTCGGTTGCACATGGCTCCGGGTTGATACCTCTTGAGCACCTGTCCAAAGATGTGGATGAACGAAATCCTGCACCTAAGAAACTCTGGAACAATTACTCGCGCCTGTAAATAGCAACCAATGGTTTCCCCATGGTTTCAAAGTGGTGCGAACGGATTTTGTCCATCCACAGCATGTCTTTAGAAGAACAATGTATGGCCCAGCATGCCACTTTTTGTCAGAGACAGCAAAAGGACCACCCGAATATTCTAGCGCCACCTTCCCCATTGTTTTTTTCAGGGATCCTTCTTTCTAGAAAACCTCCGGAAACCCAGGGAAACGGCCGGTTTTTGAACAGAATGATGGTTGAAAAGAATGGGGAATCAACCCTCAAAAATATGCTCAGCTCAGGTCGACTTTTGGGTACACGGGCGAGGACCGGAAACGAGCTGAGGTTTTTGCACCACTTGGGGGTAAGATAGGTTCACCCGATACCCATGGGTAACTCGGTGACATCTGTGAGCCCAGCAAAATAGACAAACTGAAATGACCAAGTCACCCCAAGCGCGAGAAAGGAACAGCCAAGACATCATTGGCGGATGTTACTTGTGTTCAACAGTGTTTCGTGTTTCACGTTTAACCGATGCGCCATTGGAGACAAACGAGCCCCTTGTCCCACTGGCAACCTCGTGTTCCTCCCACTTGTTGTTTTTGCTTGAAAATGTGCCAGCCCTCAAACAAGGCGTTGAAATTCAGTATCAAAAAGAGTTGGTGGTTCTTGGGGAAGATGGGAATGAGGTTTTTTGACAACAAAACCCAGTGGCTGGGAAAGGTCGTTCCCATACTCGGCTGATCAACAAGAAACGCCCTTTGCTTCCCATTTTCCAACAGCCGAAACCTCGCGCGAAACCTCGCGCGAAGCCGCGCGAAGCCGCGCGAAGCCGACTCCGCGAACGCAGGTGTGGAGACCTGCATGACGGAGTCCGGCTGCGTGTGCAAGGATGACGAGCTGTCCTGTACCAATCCGGACCGGGGAACGAGTGTTCGGTTGGCCAAGATTCCCGTCAACTTCCATTTGCTGAAGCGAGCAGTTGCTTTTGATTTTTCCCATGTTGGTATTAAAGGGCAGATTCTTGTCATTTTTTCCAGGGGGCTTAAGCAAATGGAAGTTGAGAATCAAGTAGTTAATCCACTGGATTGATTCCCAGTCGTGCCCCGTGACCCTTAGCAAAGCATTTTTAACCGGTTAGACGGAAAGGTGGACATCTAACATGGGCTTGTTGATCCACTTGGAACATCTAGTCGTCTGAGGCTCATGAGCCCTGGACCCGAAACAGACTGAACCATCCTCCAACCCATTTTTGGGGCCAGTTGTCAAGACTCTTTCCAGCGCCGCCTATTTCCGTATGTCCGCCGGCAAACAACAATCTGAGGTTTACTTTGACACTTTCCGTCAGGGTCCAAGGCCCCTATGCCTGGAAAGGTCCCTCATGATAGTCACAAGCACCTCAAGACTTGATTGTGTCTTGTTTTGGGGGACCCTCAAATGGTAATGTTCCTCTTGGTTGTCCTTTAAATCAATCCCAAATAAGGTCCGTTTGAGCAAATCTTAACGATGCCACTGGCAGGGGAGGGAATTGCTGCCTCCCAAAAACAAGCATAGAGCCTGCACAGGGTTTCCTGCAAAAACACATATGCAGGGGCCTGGGTGCAGGTTCCATGTTTGTTTGTGAGAGGGTTGCATGTTCATCGAGCTCCCGAAGGTTTGATGGAACTCAGCGAGGTTCGCCAGAAAGTGTTTGACCCTGAATCTGCGGAAAGGGGGGGACTATGGGTTTTGAGGCAACTGGTCGTGGTGGTTACACTCTTGGAATCCAGGATTTCAGACACGATTAATTAATTGTTTGCCTTTGGAACCATCCCCTATACGACAAGTTGGTTGACTCTGGCTCATCCGACAAGACATCATGTTGAAGATACCCCTTAGGCCAATCATGGATTTTGGTCCACAAATTGGCACAAGGGGCTGCCGATCCAAGCAGACGGGCAAGTCACTAGCATCGCCTTTTGGTTGCCTTTGTTAGCTTGTTCATCCGGCAGCTTTTGTTGGCCATCCTTGTTTTACAGGCGATCAACACGTATAAACTTGTTCTGGCCGGATCGCCAAACCGGTGAGTTTGGGTGATGTTTCAGGAAATTTGGAATCATGGGAAACCTGAGTCCCTAGCCAGCCAGCCGGGTTGAGCTCAACCCGTCGGGACAAGCCGACACCAGTTCAAGAGGAAATGTTGGACCTTCTTTAATATATGTGACCCTCGCCCCAACATTGCCAACAGTTTCGGGGACCCTCTTTTGTGGATCCGGGGAGGGAGTTGGACTTGGGCTCCCCGATATGTTGATTTAGTATCGCTAGTTCCAGATTTAGTATACTTGATCTCAGGTTCCTCAGACCGGGAAGAGCTTAAAGGGTCAGAAGGAGACTCTACGTGTGGTCAAGTCCAAAGGAGCCATGTGTGATCGGACAAGTTATGCCAAAAAGTAAGGCATGAATTGCTACGCAAAATGGGCAAACCCAAGATACCCACATTCCAGAAGAACAAGCGGACTCCCCAGCCACCGACTAGGCCAGATTGAATCGTGTGCACGTGAGGTGACACAATGGCAGCAACATAGTCAATTATTCATTTAGGAACCAATTCCCCTCAGCTCGTACCTCGTCCAAGACTATTGCTCACATGTCAACCACCCTTGAAAAGTAAAAGGCTCTAGCTTTGATCTGGGAATCTCCCCACTTGAAGAAGGCCCCAAAGCAGTCATACTAAACAGGATCAGGGGCTCCCGTGGGCACCCTCCCCCCCCCTTTGTAGCTCCCCCTTGTGCGACTGTTGAGGGGGAACTTGCACAGTTGACATTTCTAGATGTGAGAACTTTAGCCTCTGACCTTGGAAGGACTTAGATAAACTACCCATCAACAGTAACATAAGAGTATTTGTCCCTGGGATTTTCTCTCGAGGAAAGCAGCTTCTATCTGTTCGAAAGGATTGGGACCTTCGGACATGCTGAGATAAATGAATACATATATATATATACATATGAAGTATTTTCCCGTACCTCAAAATGTTTGTTTTTTCATGCTCTCGTGTTTTTCAGACGAAGACCAAACACGCAACTCAATGACACAACTGTGCCATCGTTTCGCGTCTCTCTCGCGTTGTTTCGTGCCGCTTTCGAGCCATGTTTTCGGGGTCGCCGCGTGCTGCGTCAAATTTTCAGGGGAGACTGAACCGAGGTCGGGTAGCGATTCCCAACCCCCCCCCCCCCCCCCGCCCCGAGCAAAGTCAGGGGGTTTTTCATGTGGCTTTGTCTGATTGGATTCGGGTCACCCGGAAATGGATTTCGGTGTCACTTCGGTTTCCCTTATAAAAGAAGCCCAGCTTCGGGGATGCAAATGGAACCAAAAGGACGGTGGAGCCAAAAGGACGGCGTTGGCTGGTCTTTTGCCAGGCCCCTTGGTAATTCTTGGGGACTTGGGGATGGTTAATCTGGGGGTTAAAAACTGGTTAAGTGCTTCCTTAGTGAGCAAGCGACCCTTAACAACATAGTTATTGTTTTTAGGGCTCTAGATATGGAACATAGTATGTTTTTGTTCTCTGCGATGACATGACATGACGCTCCCATGACGCACCGATTTGGAGCCGACATGTTATTGATATGTCGGCGTTGCTATAGGGCTCCGATCGAAAGATGTCAGGCCCCTATCGGCCCTTTTGAGACCTCCCTTGCAAGTCGGGGTGTGGTTTGGCTTTTGAGCCCTTTAGGGATTTTACGTGAAGCTGTCGAGTTGACAACCCAGACCCGGGGTGTTGAGATCCAATCGCAGGACACGCAGAAGACCGAGTGCATGCCAAAGGAATCTTGGCAAAACAAGACATGCGGATTGGAAGGTCGCGTGGGTTCTATGTGGCATCGGTTTCAGCCCACCATTCCTGTTTCAATGGGGGCTGGTTTGGTTATTGGTTGGTTGGCTGCTTGCTTGCTTGGTTGGTTGGTTGGTTGGTCGGTTGGTAATCTCAAAAGCAGGTCTCCCGTTCGGATTGGCTGGCCACATACACACAAGATCCTTTCAGGGAAACAGCAGTGCGTCACCTTCCCGGCCAGACGCTCGCCCGTGAGACTAGTGAAACGCAAATGCTGAGTGACCCTTAGCTGAACAGACTTCCATGACGAACCGGGTTCACTTTAGGCACAAAAATGCACTTTGGGCACAAATTAGCAACGCCACCCATAGTTAAGGTTCCTTTGATAGAGGTCAGGTGGATAACAATTTGCCCAGACTCGTCAGAATTTTACAGCAGTCGTTCTCTCCGAGTGTGGGGAAAGGCCATCATGACTTTTGTGGCCAATCCAGAAAGTGAGGTTACCGGTAGCAAGACATGGCCAAACAACCACCACGGTCAACCAGGGTCCCTCCATGTCCTTCTTGGAAAGTGGCACTTCCATTGGAACCAACTGGTCAACTGCGACTTGAGAAATCCTACAGACCACCCAGGCTTGGGCAATGCATCACATGCCGAAAAAGCCCGAGCCCCCTACAAACACCAAAAGGAGGCAGTGCTTGTTCAAGGTGTGAAGGGCTGGATGGAGAGTTTGGCAGCCTGCAACAAAACCTAACTTGGCCCGGAAATTCCGTATGCAAATTCTGTCCAAATATAGCTGCGACTTGCGGCGGAGTCCAAGGTTTGACACGGTTGTTCATTCCTATATTGACCAATGGTACCAATTTTAATCTATGTTAGTGGGGATTGGGATGCTCACTGGAGGTACGGGTTTTGACCCATGGCCATATGGACAAATGTTTGAGTGCCCGTTCTTTGTAGATGTCTTCCAACGTGTTTTGTGAACTGCATCATGTGACAGGTTCAGGGGCCTATGGGTGTCCTTGAAAGAGGCTCCAGGGGAGCCGAAAGGGACTTCATGCTTCAACCATCTTGAAACAGGTGGGTGTGTCTTTCAGACCACCTCCCCTCCACAGAAATGTAGCTCTTGGTGTCCCTTTGAAACCACCAAACAAGGGGGTACCCTAAACACACCCCCAAGTGGTATCACCCTAACTTCTCCATCGCACGTTGGCACGCCTTGCGAGGCATACTACACCGACTGCCCGGTGCAGTGCGCAGAGAACGAGATCATTTGCGGCACCGTGGGCTTCGATGAGAACGGCTGGACGCCGCTTGGCTGTTTGGACGCCAATGGATTTCAACTTGCTGTTGCTGCAGCTGTTCGACATGTGTCCATAGTTTCATGTGCGGCCTTTCTGGTCCTTTTGCAAGCCTGGCTTGCTTTAGCTGGGCGCACCGTTTATAGTTTTGACATGGCAGTGCCATGTCACATTGAGCTCAGTTGCACATCCTGCGGATGTTTCCTAAAATATATCCAATTTCTGTTCAAAGCACATCCTACCTGAAGCTCCAACACGGGGCCTGCAGCAAGCCCGGAAGGTGTGAGTCTTTGGATCAACTCTTATCAGGGGGCCCGCCGGACGCTGTCGCATGAGCGCTATGCAAGGCCAACGCCTGGAGTATCGAGTTTGGTACCAATTGCTTAAGCTGTGGGCAGCGCAAGTGTTTCTCTTTTGGAGTGAGCTACGTATGTCGAAAACCAGGCTTGAACCACAGCTGCAGATGGATGGATTTTCTGTGAAGCAAAACAAGACCCCCCCCCCCACATATATATATATATATATATATACATATTAGGCGGCGTCAACGTTCGGCTCACTGCCCCCCAGTGCATGGAGTTGTTTCACAGAGTTTGTCATTTTAGTAGGTGATTCGCTTCTTAGCCAGTTTCATAAGTTTTACCGAAAGGCTATGTTTCTCGAAGGTTGTCGCCATCGCCGTCAAGGGGGGCGTCACCGCACCCATTTAGATCATTTAGCACATACTGTGGGGCTACGATCAAGTTCTTGTAGACCCCCCAGCACCAGACCAGACCCTAAACACAAGCCTCAGGCGAAAAGAACATGTTCCAACTAGTTGCCCTCAGAGCAACCCATTTGGGATTTTATACTGTAGCTGATGCACATGCAGGTTACACCGAGCAAACGAAACACGGCAAACGACGGGCCAAACCCCACTGGTAGGGATAGATCAGGGTATAGGTAAAAACAACACCAGGAATTGGACCGCATTCTGGTCCTTATTCCCATTTATACAACAGGGCACAGGAACCCAAAGGAAACCCAAAGGACAACAGCCATTTGCGGCCCTACAACCCAGAACCCCCATATACCGCTCTTGGACGGGTTCCATTATGGGGTTCCCCAACCCCTGAGGACCTGGACAGACTACTGCCACGCTGGCCAAGAGTGCCCGGTGTCCTGCGATTCCACCACGGCCAAGCAGCCGGGAGCCCTGAGCGTTCGCAACGGGTATCCCGAAATTCAGAAGCAAGTCACTGACCATGTTTTTCTTGGTCGTCTATTGTTGAAGGGGACATCGGGTTGCAACCCATAGCTTGGGGGTGAGTTCAACAATCTTGTTGAAGCGACCATTTTTATTTGAAGATTAGGGTTCTTCTGAGGGGTGATGTTGAAACACAATATTTTGAGCCATGTTTCGTCCAGGTCCAGTTATGGCATTCTCTAAAGAGTCCCAACCCGTGTGGTGGGTTGGCAACCTTTGTACTGGAATCACCGGCAGAGTTCCCTTGGAAAGTCAGTGGGCAAGGTTAACACCTGGATGTTGTCGTCCTGTTCATTGCCGTTAAGCCATCCACTCAAAGGGCGCGCTCACTCGAGTCGTAAGTGGCCCTCAAGATTTCGCTTATCCCTACTCCCAGGCCTCCAGAGCTACGCTTGTGTCCTTGATGGTGAGGGCGGGGCTTCCTTGAAGATCAGCCAAAGAAAGGTGCCCCATTTTTTCGCTGCGGGACTGGGAAGTGCATAGTGGTCTGGGAACTTTCTATGAAATACATATAGGGTACGTATCAAGGGGCACCCACCTCAGGCACGTGGTTGAGTCCTTCGAGGAAGTAGCGCCAAAACCAACGTGTTTTTGGTGTGCCCAGTTGGAGGTGAAGCACGCACCCGTCCACGTGTTGGAATGCTTAGTCGCCAGGAGGCTACCGCATGCGTTCCAAACAGGCACTCGTAAAGAAGGCCTTTGACTTTTGCATTCCTGCAGCTGGCAAGGAGTATGGCCTGTCCCTGAATTGAAACAAGGCAGAGATGATGCAAGTGGGGCGTGCTGAGAACCTGAAGGAAAGCTCCTCAAACTCTTACAGAGTTTACCTTGGCACGGTCCGGCTGCGCAGGCTGAGTTCGACAATTGCCGAAGCCTTTTGGTCGCTGCAATTTCAATCGCTTCTGTTCAACGCGCGCTCTTTGTGCTTGAGCAAGCCCGACGCTCGCAGACTTGACACCTTCCATGTTCGCCGTCTCAGGAAGATGGTCAACCTGGCCCATTTTTTTCGCAGCCGGGTTTTTCCAACGCGACGCGGTCTGAGAAATGGCTGCTAGCAAGACCCTGTTGCTCGCAAGACCCTGTCATGGCCGGGAAAGCTCGCTGCGCGAGATGGCGACGCAGTGAGGTATTCCATTCTAGGCCCGACAGGCTGGAGCCGAAGCTTCCGGAAGCGAGGTAGGCTGAGGTTGCGTTGGGCCAAGTAGTTGTGCGAACACGCGAAATCTGCGGCTGGAATCGCTTCTGCTTTGCAAAGTGTTTGGCAAGACAATGCTAGCCAAGTTGCGTCCGCTCTCTGTGTGCAGCGGCATTGCCATGAGTAATGAAGCATGCCCATCATTTTCAAGCAACTGCAGGTCTCGGGCAGTTGACTTGCATGCAGGAGCATGCAAGGTCCCTTGCCAACTGGTTCCCTTGCCATCTACAAACTGGTTCCCTTACCAATGTGTTGCCAGGCTGTCAGGAGCTGTACAGTTCTAGGGGACACTTCCCCATTCTTTCCAGGGATCCTTCTTTCCAGGGGGGAAAAACAAAAACAACAGGGAAACAGCTGCGTTTTTTGAAAAGAACGATTGAAAAGAATGGAAAAGGCATCAATCCCTAGAACAGTCTTCACGTAGGCCCCCCAAAACCGAAGCCCGAGGTGCCCGGGGGAGGACTGGTGCATGGCTACGTCGGACACTTGCCCGGTGGTCTGCACGGAGTCGCAGACCTACTGCTGGGTGGCACCCTGGCAACCGGAAGCTGCCGAATTGAGGGCGAGCTCACCTGGGGGTAGGATTTGGTAGGATAGGATTTGGTAGGGTTTGGTAGGATCTGGTAGGATCTGGTAGGATTTTCGTGTAACCAGCTCACCATAACAAAGGTCCTATACCCGGGGGTTCCTTCATTCAGCTTCTGGAAATCAAGAGAAAGAACTGCAGATGGAGGTCAGTTTCCGCTCGCAGGTTGAGCCAGACAGGCGCCAGAGGAGGTCAACTCTCAGTTTCCTGGAATTGGAATTCACTACGGCCAAGACATTCACCTGCGCAAACCGGTTACACATGAGACATGCTAAATGGTCATTCCTTGGCTGGCGCTGCGCTTTGGTCAGCACACCCCGTTTGCCAAACATATTTTGGTGTGTGCACCCATGTCATCTCCTTTATCTTTATCGTTGATGACGGTAAGCGTTAAACATTGACCGTTGGTCGGAGGAATCTCCTCGGAGCGAATTCCTACTGGGAAGGAGACGTATTTTCCCCTTGCGCAAAAACACGGAAACCCAAAGACATCCTATGTTCAGTTGAATCTCCTTTCGGGACATGGACCTGCCACATTTTGGATTCTATGTTCATTGTCACAGGGGCAACCAACCAGGGGTAAGGGTAACACGAGCGATGCGGGGTGCGCCTGTTTGATATGTGTGAAATTTCATAGAAGACATGTGTAACTGTTGCTTCTTAAGGGCTTCCTTTGTTTAAGTGCTGACAGCTTGTTTGGCAGGATTTGGCTTCTAGTCCATTCTCGGCAGCCAAAGAAGTTTCAGATTCTGACAGGAGCCCAAAGTATCGAAGCTCTCCAACTTGACTTGGGTTTCATATTGGGATAGGGTGAGCCAAGAGGACGCATTGCCCTTCAAAAAGGCTTCGAAAGAAGAAGAAAACAAAAAACATAAATGGAGGGGGGTCAGCGGGGTTTCGAAGGGGGGGCGAAGAGGAGAGTTTTGGACGTTTCGCTGCTGAGTCAGGCAGGGGGTGGGTTTGTTGGAGAGGCCATCATAAGGTTTTGGCAACAGGATACAGGTCCCCATATTGACATGAGTCTTCCAGCTGTCAAAGATCGGGCAGGTTCCTGGCTCCGGGATGTTGGGCATCAATGCTTTTCAGTATACAATTTGGGCATACAAGAGGGGATTGCCCGTGAGTCCATTTCCCTGCATAGGAAACCAAAGGAGCCACTCTTTGAATCATTCAGATCAAGACAACTGGTTGCCTATTTCGGAAACCGCGATTCACTGGACTGGGATTACTGGGCCAAATGACCCCTTGAATCCAAGAAGTGCAACGGGGGGCGCAAGTCAGATTCTCGTGTTTGTGTTTTGCCGTACTTGAGCATGTTGTTGTTTGTCCACAAAGTCACCAAAGAACACAGGGGTTCCCAGTTGTGTTTGGAACAGACAGATGGTAGAACAGAATAGAAACGGAATCAACCCTAGGCAAGGGTTGCCCCAAAGAAATCTTCTCCAAAACAGATGGATTCATATCTATACTAATTTGCAGGAGTGCCAGGAGTGCATAGTTTTTCCATCGGCGCAGCTCTGATTTTTCTGGAGCCGAGGACAACTTCGGGACGGACTACAGCTGGACCGGCAGCACGGAGACGTGCCACTCAGCTCAGGGGCGGGGATACATTTAGTTAACGACGCGAGGCGAATGGTTGAGTCCTACGGATTCTGCCCTAAATATTGCAAGGGAACAAGGCGAAGCCTCGTTTTGTACTTGTGTTTCATCAGGGTTGTGTGGCGGCACCCTCCAGTTATACGTGTTTTACCAGGGTTTTTTTGAACGGCATCGTGTTCATGTCTTTTGGCACATCCACCCAGACCCGGTCCTTTTTGTGGGAACCAACTGCTGGAGCCAAATTGTGTTTTTGTTCCGGATACCACCAGACCCCAGATATGGGAGATTACAAGCGCCTGACCCTTGTCGCCTTGCGGTTTTTCGTTTTTTGGATTTTCCTTTAGCAGGGCTCCTTAAAAAATACATTTTGCCCATTTGAAACATGGCTTTTTCCACCAAAATAAAGGGAAACCACCATTTACAAGGCAATGTTCAGGTGTATAATGTAAGGATCCCAGTTTATCAGCAACGAAGTTATGTCACTTGGAGTCTGGGTTTCACGAGGCCCGCCATTGGGTTTTTGTGCCTCCAGAAAAATTGCCGTCTCGATCCAACCCTTAGCTGGTGGCGCTTCCCCCTTTCGTATCACTCCCCGAGTTTTCCATTTCGGATTTGTCTGGAGCGTTGTGGTACATAAACAAGTTGTTGCAATGTTCCCTACCAGCTGGTTGAAACTGGGGCACTCTGTTTCTGGGTCTCCAAAAGGATTTTGTGTGTTAGGGTAGAAAAAGTATGAGGCAAAACGTGAAAGTGTAACGTGGAAGCACCTCTGGCAAACTCCCATAATCGAAAGCCCGCCCCTAGGTGAGCGTTTGGGACCGTTGTGCTTTTGGGGGTGCAAAGGGGTTCAGTCAGCAGAAAGGTGCCCATTTTTCAAGTAAGCATTCTCAGGGGTTCAGCCAGCTTCTGCGCCTTTCCCGTGGCCCGCGAGTGGAATTTGTCAGGTGTGGACGCTGGCCAGCCCTGCCCCTGCGGCACTGGAATGAGCAGGTGCTCGGATCCCTTCACCCAGGCGATCTGGGCAAGTGGAAATGGGAAGCTCTGGTGAAATGGGTTCACTCAGCACGCGTGGTACTCGGTTTTTTTTTTTTCTCCGCATTTCTAGGTGAGTTCGCTGAGGGAAATGGAGAGAAGCAAGGAAAACTGGATCCCTCTTAGTTGGGTGTTCGCGTTTCGAGGTTCACTGAATATCGGGCTTTCGCCGATTCGACGGGTCGTGGCGAGCTATGGAAGATTGCTTTTCCGAACGAGGGTCTGGATCAGACTAGCAAGAGCGTGATCAAGCCTCGTCACTAAGTGCCCTCTTCTCTTCATTGGGCGCAGTTGCCGTTCGAAAAATTTGGCTGCGCCGCAAAGTGGTAATTACGCTGACTGACAACTGATATAACATGGAACTTGACAAAAACAAAAAAACTGTTTTGTTCGGAAACTCTTTGGGTTCGCTTTGCCGGCGAATGCATTCCTAGTGCATCGCCAGGAAAGCTGGTGCGAACACGAGCCTCGGCTGATGGCGACGGTCCCTTTGATCGGGGCGCCGGTTTGGTCAACATGTCCGACTCACTCCTCCAACACCAACACATATATTTTTTTGCAGCAGCCCTTAAGGCTTCCTTGAAGGGGCTCCAGAAGCATTTTTTCTGCCAGGCATATGGAGAGAAGATCAACCATTCAATCATCTGGCTGTTCCCCAAACAACCATGTCCCATGAAGCGCCCATGGAATATTTCAGCCGCTGTTCCTTCTCATGGCCGGAGCGCGGAAGGGTTTCAGGTTGTTTCCGCTTGTTTCATGGAAGTCGAGGAACGCGTGTTTGGACACAACCAGACGTTTTTTTTTTTTTTTAGGTTTGGTATTTTGCGACAAACCTGTTTGAATTTTAGAATGCATCTTTTTGAGACATGCATGGTATGCACTCAGCATACACGGGAATCCCAAGCACTTGTCTAAGCTCCAACGTTGTTGTTGTTTGTTCCGGTTGTTTGTTTCTGGCACTCGGGGAGATATAGCGCATACGCAGGTTGGGCCCAACGCTATTGTCCAATCCCTTGGGCTGGTTCAAGAGCGATTTCCTGGTAATTATGGGAGGTCACAATATTTTCTGCACGGAACCTCGCGCACCTCTCTTGGGGTTTTCATGCCCCTCATCAAAGCAAAAGCGACAGCTGAGATTCTGGAAAGAGCAAGTCAACCAGGTCCATTCGTTGAGCTTCCCAGGAAAAAACAACAGCACCTTCCACAACCCTTCCGCGAACCTTTCGCGGCTGCCGTGTGGTGCACCTTTTTGGTTGATATGTCCACTGCTGTACAATTTTTGTCTGAGCGGGAAAAGCACCACCCTCTCATGCATTCAGGGTGCATTTGTTCGCGCATTCTAAGCTGGAGCTCCTTCAGCACTTCGGCGGCACCCCTTTGGGTTCCAAAGAGAAAGGGTTGCATGGCGACGAATGCCTTCTCACTGGACGTGCCTAAGGATCAGTTTGGGTGCCCGGTCATTTGCGACCCTGTGAAGCAGAAGAGCTGCTGGCCCCTCTCCTACACCGTGGAAGGCGAGCAGTTCAGCGGAAATTCGGGAATTTTGGAATTTTGGGACTGGGAGTACGGGCGGTATTTGTTGCCCGTTAGGAAATGGTGCGACTGGGATTGTTCCAAAACAAAGGTGATTGGGATGATTGTGTTCAGATAGGGACAATAGGGCATAGAACCACACAAAGCATCCCATTTGGCCCAGGCATTCCCTTTGTTTCCATCAACACTGCTTTGGCCAATGGCGTTTGACGAGGACCCTGGGCAATAAGTGGGGCCAGGTTGTGATGTCGGTAGGGTCAGTCACAAAGCAAGCATCTGGCCTTTCAAGGGCCAAATCATGGAGGATGTTACGTTGAACAGTATAACTATGGAATTCTCATAGGGACTCCCCCCTCAAGTGGTTGGTGTACCAGCAGGCACGCCAAGCTGGTTTCAACAGAGGGGGTGGGTTTGTCTCAAACTAGTGGACTGGCCCGGCGTTTCACCCCAGAATGGCTGGTCGTCCGTTGGTTTCCCTCCAAACCAACCCTAAAAGCCTGGGCTTCAAAAAAATCAATGGGGGCTAATACAACAACCTTTGTTTACCTACGGATGGTCTTCATCTAAATTGAAACAACCATCCTTTTAATGGGGGTTGAACCCTAGGGAAAACGGTGCCCTCAACGGAGCTTCACCTAGCTGAAACGGACTCGCCCCAGATCAAATGGCACATTCGCGTCGATCCCGCGAGGCGAGCCCGACTGGGATGCGCCCGTGCAGCAGAGCTGTGTGAACGCAAGCAAGCCCGGGCCCAATGAGGCACAGATTCTGGGCTGATGGCTGTGGAAGCGCCTCAAGAGTGGTTGGTGGACATGAATCCGCGCCAAATGTTGTTGTCCACCACAGGCGCCGGGACCAGGAACAATCACAACCAGCTCTCTTGTTTTTGGGTAGCGTTGCAAAGCCCGAGCTATTGTGTTCGCTTTGTAAGGCCAAGTGCGAAAGGCGTTTGTATCATCAACTCTCGGCAAATGTACTTGGAGTCCTGGGGAGTTTCATTTGGGGGAAAGGTTCAAGGGGGAAGTGAGCGGATTTGTCCCTCCCAGGAAGATGTTAAGAGTCCGAGATTTGCTCCAAAAGAGATGCTTGGATATATGGGCAAACTTACAACAGTGTATTTCGGGGACTAGCAGAAGTCGTTTTTACGTACAATTGGGTAAAAGATGGTGCAGTTCCCCCATGTCATCCCCTTTACTTGGGGAATTATGCCATATTATACGATGTTTATCCTTGAGTAAACAAGCACACCTTTGCACTACGTATAGTGAAACGAGCTCACCCATGACAAAGTGTGTCTTTTCCTAGGGATTGAAATTTGCGAATTAAAGTACTTCGGGCAGATCCGTCTGAGGGGAAGCCCCCGCTTCAAGCATGTAGTTTTGGGGGGGGGGACTCTGGGAACTCGCGAGAGGAGGCGACCACTGGAACCCCGAACCCACCAAGGTGGCACTTTGAGGTCCCAACATCTAGCGATCAGAATGCGGTGGGGAGGTTTACGCAGCTAAGTGGTGATCATAAGGGTTTTGTGTAATGATAATGTGTCATGGTTTGGCCTGTTTTTCTGCAACAGCCTCCTTTCCATAGGTGTCCTTTTGAGGTCAGTTTGGTTAGAACTAGATGGCTTCCACTGGTTTAGACAGGTGGTATGTCGTATGCCCCATGTACCAGGAAACCCATCTATTCTCAACCAAAACGATGGCTCTGCTCCCTGCACGCCGTGCAGAGGAGAACAAAAAAGAGCGCGGCTCGCTCTGAGGCCTTGCCCCTGCGGCGCCAATGCCAAGATGTGCCGATGGGTGGATGCTGGGGCCGCACACGCTGAAACCAGTTGAAACCCCGCCCTTTGGGACTTCACTCCCTGAGATTGGGACTTGGGGAAGCGTTTTGGGCTCAGTTTTCGTGTGGGAAACCCGATATGTCCTTTTTTTTTTCAGCCCCCCGGCCCCCTGCACATGTTGGGACCCCAAACGCACCAAGCACACCTGGTCGGGAAAGACTAAACTGAAAGCAAATGTCCATACTCAATACTGTCCACTGAGTTCCCCATGAGCAAGAAAAATCTCACCCCCTGGAGGTTTTGCAGACTCAGACCCTTACTGGGTAGTATTCTGGGACCAAATGAGAGGCTAGCAAGTGGAGGCAGACCTAGTTGTGTGTTCGGCCAACCTACGTGATAGGTAACCTATGCAACATACAACGGGTAAACACTTGGGGGATGTGGGGAACCGGAGTTGTGCGAAGCAGGCCGAACACCTGTTGGGTGCCTTAAATTAATTCACCAGAAGTCCCGCCAGACCTCCCAGACCTCGACCTCAAAGGGATCCGCGATACGCTTACAGTCTACCGCTAGAGTTGACTTTTCGGTAGTACCCCCTTTGTTTCTTCTACCGGTTCCTTGGTTCCTTGGTTGTCATCCCGGTTCCTTGGAGATCAACTCAGTTCCTTGGCTATCAACCCGGTTCCTCCTTGACTTAGTATATGTTCCAGGCCCCCCACCCATGGTACCCCCCCCCCCCCTCTCCCGCGGAGTGGTTGCGCAGTGCCCTGTGGATGGTTAAGGGTTGGTTGGTTGAGGATCGGATAAGAGCTGGTTGAGGGTTAATGAGTTGAGGGTTGGTCACTTTAGAGGGGTTCGGAGTTAGCTGAAGGGTGTAGACTCGTATCTTGTTCGAGCAATGGGCTTATGTGTGTACCCTTAATTATTTATATCAACCAATAAAAAGTACCATCAACCAAAAGCACACCAGCACGTTCGGAAACCCACGTGGAGTGTGTTTGGGACATGTCTGGGGCTTACGTTAATTGCCGACCAAGCTCTTGGTCCCCTACAAGGCTTCACTCCGTTTTGGGAGGCCATGTTACACATTCTGAAGAAGCAATTCCAGGCCATGTTACACATTCTGAAGAAGCAATTGTCAAGCTGCAGCATGCAACCTGACGCGGGCTTCAGGCAAAGCTGTTGCTGGACCGTTATGCCATTGCCCTAAACATGCCCTATGAATCGCAAAGAATCGTATATTATACGTGTTACGCAAATCAGAAGCCCCTTCCAGTTGTTGGCATCCTTTTTGGTTTCCACTTGAGACTGTGCAACCAGGGGACCCTATTGTTGAGAAACACTATGCATATTCAAGTAGGCTGGCTCCAACAGCATGCTTCCTTGCCAAATGTTTTCCATTGCAGCTGAGTTGAGAAATCCGGGGGCTCTGCTGGTAGAAATTTCAACACACACACAACTCAGCAGTGCCCAACACATATTAATTTGGGGTTCCACCAAGGTGATTCTCAAGGTTTTGACCCCACCTAGGCTGTGGATTTGGGGCGCCTCCCAACAGCAGATACTACTTGCTGGTGCGATACGTAGGGAATGAGAAATGAACCTGGAGATTCGGAAACCACAGGGGATGGTTTATAGGGGATATTCCCCCATGCCCTGCACAGCAAGACCATACCATGACTCTGTTGTGCTTGCATCTCAGGACGAGTACGGGCCGTGGTCTCAGTGTGTTGCTCCACGCAAGGGTCCGTTTCTTGAGACAACAATTCAACGGATCTGCATTTTTCTAGCCTGACATGGGCTTGATTCCAAAGGACATCCTGTGTGGACCCATCTGGTTTGCTAGGATCAAATTGGGCACCACAAGGCACCCGTGAGGTCTTCGATTCAGTTACCGTGCGGGTCTAGCAGTATTGATCTATTCCTTCGGATAGAATCAAGGGCAACCAGCTGATATGTTTTTGCTTCGGCAGGGGTGCAGTGGCAAGGAGTTTGAACTTTTTTGACCAATCCACTTCGAAGTGATTTTTAGTGGTGCCCTTTTTTGTCCTTGTCTTGCGGGGGTATCCCTTTACATGTAGACAATCTTTCAAACAAGGATGCCTTTTTTCAATGCCCAAGGACTTGACACGTGTCGATCACCTTGTTCTGAAGTCCATTAAGATGGGTAGCTGGGGTACTGTATTTTGCGTCGCCTCCGTGAGACCCTGCTGTTTGCATTCCAAAGTGGGATTCAACTCAAACCTCGAAACTTGGTGTAATCTCAATTTTGATTCCTTGTGCCAGATAGTAGTTTCCCCCGCCATAGGTGGCGCCAAAATTACGAATCAGGGAGTGGGAGGGATTGTCGTTTTGAAGAAACAACCCAGCCAAATCCTTTCTTTCCCAGCAAGACCCTGTTTGTTTGGTAGGCCCGTTCCATGTTTCGACGTTGCGCCGAGGCAGCAGGAAGAGTTCTGCGAGCCCACGGGAGTCACTTGCCCTGTGACCTGCTCCTCCGATGAGCGGATCTGCTACACCCAGGATGGGAAATGGAAAGGAGTTTGGTTCCTATTTGGTATGACGGGTATAGGATATAAACCTTGTTGCCCACACTTAGCTCCCTTTTTTCGTTTTGTTTTTTGGTTGGTGCTGCATCAGATGCGAAGTGAATTGGTTGTGTCCATGAGTATGCAGCTTTGGACCTTCGAACCATTCTTGTCAGATTTCATGAGATGGTAGAAGTATAGGGCCCACAACCTTGATGACCAGAGGCCTATTGTTCTGCGATACTATTGACCCCCCTTCAGAGTGAGCAAGTAGTCGCAAGGATAGTCCACTTTGTTATCAAAGAAAGGCGTGTTTTCTGCAATGTCCAGGACCGAGAAATCGGAACTCGTGGAGCAAAACGTAGTGGTTCGCTCGCCGAGGGGAAGCAAGCTTATCCATGAAGCTCCCGACTGCATTTGTTCTTCTCAGTGTTTGTGACTTTTGAGTCTGTCGTTTTTTTGGGTTATTTTGACTTTGGGGACTTTGGGGACTTTGGGGTTCCCCAGGTTGAGACAGACCATAGATAGTTGGCCATCCGAGACCTCCGCGTGTTCTCGTTGCTTGTGGGTGCTGCCCGAGGACTGGAAGCAACTGGATTGATCAACCCGGACTTGGTGGGTAAATGGGAAGACCTCATTGAAAGATTTCTTCTTCTTGTTTTTCAGATTGGCAAAGTATTGCAATTGGTGCAGAGGTATGGGCGTGTGAGAATACGGGGACCCTCAAAATGATGGCTTTCCTTTGGGTTTCGCTCAAGCCAAGCTGAAATGGGCTCAAACAAGCGCACACACACATACACACCGGCATCTATAGGTATGTGCCCAGATCGTCAAGTTGCTGTTTCTTTCCAGACACCTCACCCTAAAAAACCAGTCACAGTCGCTGGGAGATTCAGCCATTCGCATCTGGGGATCCAGGTCTTGTCAGATTTTCCGCGTGGCTTTGCCATCCAGAAAACCCGTCAGCCCTCCGGCAGGACTACAACGCCTCGGGGTACCCCTTGGCAGAACGCCAGGCGATCTGAGATGTTGAATCGCCGATTCGCTGAATTCCATTTGCTTGAGAATATGTTATGTCTTCTGGTGGTGTTGAGTATTTCGAGTAGTGATAGATTCTAGGATTAATAACATATACTGGACATCTACTGGAAATCTTCCCCTTTCAAAGGAAGTCTATCACTACTGGAAGTATTGATAGTTTTTCCAGGAGGCTTAACCAAATGGAGGGTGAGTTAGAAGGGTGTTCAAAGCTGTTTGCTACAAGGGGTCCAGCTCTATGTCTCAGTTTCGCGATTGTATGCATCCTTTTTTGTCCCGTTGAGGTGAATTTCCCGTAATGATGTTTTAAGGACAATTGGGAGCCCTGTTTGAGTATTGTCAGTTCTACCTTGAAGCAAAGCACATTGTGGCATTCCAGGGTTTTCCCTGTATTGCCATGCCTAGTAAAGGATGTCCTGTCGAATTGCTGCAGTTTGAGCACTCCGTCATTCCAACTGATGTCCTAGTTTTTTCTCAGAGTTAAGTCCCAACCAAACAATATGGATTTGTCCAAACCAAGTCCGGGCTGTGCGGGAACAAGACACAATGTTCGGTTTTTTTTTACGTATTGCCCAGCCTGTGTTCTTTTCAGCAGTGGAATTATGTTGGTAAACCTTTATTGTACAACCTACCGAGTTATAAGCAGCGAGGAACGGGGAACGTGATGGGAGGCTTGGTTTTTCCATACCTCCGTTGTTGTTGCTGGGTGTTGTGTAATCATTGAGTGTTTGAATCACAGAATGCGAGTGGCTCTTGTAGAGCCTCTTGAGGATAGACCTCACAGGATCGTCGGATTGGATCCTCTGCAGACTTTTTTGAGGTTACAACACGTGGAGAGGCCCCCCGAACAGACGATCCTTGGAGTCGGGAGGCTTTGACATCAAGGAAGTCTGCAGAGGTCCCAGCAGAACCAAACAAGTCCCCAAAACTCTTGGGCCAGGCTAGAGGCCCCCTAGGATTGGTTATTTTGGTTTTTGGGTCTCTGCAGACTTGTTTGATGCCAGGGCCTCTCGGGATCAGTTGATGTTTTGGGGACCTCTCCAGATTTTGCTGACTTGAAAAGGTTGGCAGAGGTCAAGGTTTGCAGCCCCCCGCCCCCAAACAAAGACAAAGAAACTGGGTGTCCATAAGATTTGTTATTTGCTAAAGTAGACGTTTAGTTGGAAGTAACACCCAAGAAAGTGTTTAGGTGCAATTCAGTTTCAAAATTTACATTAATACGGACATGATGCAACTATGTTCCATGGTAAATCATCCTTTGAGCAGAAAGTCCTGTCCAAATATAGGTTCATCGAGAAATGACTTGAAGTGACAACTTGAGAAAGAACTTGAATTGACATAGGCTTAATCACATTAGTTTGAGATGTGGCCAAATAGACCTCTACAATTCAATTAGAGTTCATGTTGCAGTCAATGCAACAGACCCCAATCAGACGTCCATCTTACTTCAGACTTAAATCCGAATTGGTATATGTTGCATTAATATTGGAATTTACAAAGGAATTCCTTTTCAAGTCATTGGTTTCTTTCTAATGTGATGTTCAATTAACATAGATTATGAGTCAAATGCAATTCAAGGAGGACCAAGCAATATAATTGTCTTTCCAAATTACAATTAACATTGAAGGACGACAGCAAATAGTTCAAACCCTTATGGAATTCGATCCGACATTCGATTTAAGTGGCGTGTTCATAGACATCTAGAAGAACAAATGTCCAAATCTATATTCCATTGTGTTAGAGTTTGAATGTCAGTCCTTGCCAACATGGGCTTTAAGACTTGAGCTGGAAGTTAAACCAAAACTAAAAGGGAAAGGCCTCACAAGAGTATCGCACAACGCTAGCTGAGACGCACTGCGAGCAGAGAAGCTGATTTGCACATGGCGCAGCATAGCAAAGAATAGCCCGCAACACAGCCCATTCAAACACGCACAAGACAACGTGCAGGTCCAATACACAAACCGGTACAATTCCGAAATGATTCAACCCACCTATAAAACACGTGACACCGCCTTCCATGGCATCCCCACCTTTTGTGATAGATCGCTACCCGCAATTGACGTGGGTGCCACTAAAGCCCTTTGCTACAATGTCAGCTCTTGATTACCCTGCCAGATTGGTGATCGCACCGGAAGTGCAGGATGGGACACACCTCAACCTTTACATGTTTCACTCGCATTTGTTCACAATCCCTAGATCCTCCTTGATCCCCATGGAACCAAACGTCTCTGTGGCAATGAACCGCAGCACCACTCGTCTCCGAATATCATACCCTCCTTTCCACGAACACGGAACCCACGAGAGGATCCCAGTAATGGAAAATGATCTTCCAGGTGCCCCTCAAGGTGTTTAATTTGGAAGAAACTGAGCCAAACCATAGGATGTATGGAATGTATCTCCGCGAAGGCTACCCTCAGGCCTTTGATTCCGTGACGCTTTTTGAAGCGCCCAACCCGCCCAACCCCCCCCAACCCCCCCCCAACCCCCCCCCCCAACCTCAGCCCCCCCGCAGCCCCTCCCCCCCAGCCCCTCCAGCAACCGCCCGAAGCAGAAGCAGCGGCAAGCACGCCAGGTCTGCACCAAGCGCAACCAGCCCTGCAACTGCGGCAGCCACGCCCAGCGCTGCCACGACCCCTGGGCCGCGCCTCGGCGCTCGGTCGGCGCGAACGTCGGGCGGCTGGGGGTCGGGGGGGACCCGGGCCAGTGGGAACGTCCAAAGCCCGTTTTCGGGTTAAAAAAAACGTGGCAGTCATTGCAAGTGTTTTTCGTGTAGCAGACTCTTAGGGAGTCCTTCTAGCCACTCTGTTGTGTAGTATAGCCCTATATGAGCATGAGCTCCTCTGGGACGGTCAGTGGCAACTAGAACGCGTGGCTTGGAGGGATTGGTCCAAGCACTGCGGGGGGGAGTCCCGTTTTCCTAGCCATGTAGCTTGGAGAAGTTGGTCCAAGCACGGTGTTGTCTTAGTTTGGGGGTGGTAGGGTTGGTGACAGTTCCCCAGACAGAGGGATGATTGGCGAGCGGATTCCCAGCCCTCCATGTCGCTCCCTATTTTCAGCTTGCCTTTTGGAGGGGACTCCCCCCCTTTGAGGTCAACTACCAAACAAAAAGGTTCCTTGTTTCTCCCATGGCCGCTGGGCCTCTGAGTTTGTTTGGCTTGACTGCTCAGCAATCATGGTGCTGTTGTTGTGTAATTTCTCTCCAGGACACTAAAAGGGCATGGATTTGCATTCACTTGTGCGCTCATCGATTCGAGGGTGAAACGTGCCCATGATGAAGGTCCACCGGGGGATTTCACTGGCAGAGGTTGACGGGCTGCGGATGTAGGTGTCCAATGAGCGCCAACATCCGATGATTCAGAAAATCGGCCGCCACAAATCCCTGCCCAAACGTGGAAGTGCACAGGAACTCTTTCTTTCCAGGAAGCCAGCCTTGAAGGGCTGGAACCTGTACCAAGCCGCTTGTCGCTTGGGATATCCAGTTTTGAGGGCCCCTCGGGATGGGTTCCCAAACTTCTGATCTTCTGATCCTTTTGGCAAGATCCTTTTGGTGCAGTAGACCAACATGTTCTCGCTCTCGGAAGGTCAAACCTCAGATTAAACCGAGTTCCGGGGGAGAGAGTTGTTTGCGGGAGAAGGTAGTTGCAGGTGGCCACTCTGCGCGAGTCTGCCGAACGCCCCCAGAGTTTAGATGTTTTTAGTATTGGAGGCCGCAAACGTCATTAATCCATTATTGACATACGTATATACTATACGTATATATATATATATATGCTGCCCCCCCCCCCGCCAGGGACCTACCTTGTTGTTGCCTGTCCAGTGCATTATTTGCCCTGGAAGGAAAGATGTCTCAACTAAGACTAGTACCGAACTAGGACTAGACGATCCACCTATGATTCTCGTACTATTTGATGTTCAATTCGATATGCCCAAACTAGGACCAGACTATTCAACTCTACTTCTTATAGTATTCGGATGTCAAGTATTACTTGGATTAAAGCATAATAGCCAATATGTAAATTCCAACTTAGCATGCACAACTAACTAGTGTGCTTACTTTAAGTTCTACTGTTCAGTTAGCAGTTACATAGAACTTGATGCACATATTTAGCAGACATCATAAGGAACTTCAATTGTAATGTCCTTTATGCTTTCTAATTATTTCAAGAAGCTATCGCCATACTAGGCCTAGAACCAAGGATCTCCCAACTAGGACTCGGACCAAACTAGGACTAGACCATTTAACTCTAGTTCTTATAGTGGTTGAATTTCAAGTACTATGTCCTATTTGAAAGGACATCTTGTGTACCATTTAATTTGACATAGAACAATTAATATTTAAGTTCCAATTTAAATCGAAATTCTGACTGGAGTATGTCCTTCTTAAACTCCATTTAATTTCAATTAGAATTTGGGCCGAATTTGATAAGCATATTAAGTAGAATTCATAAGGAAAGAATTCAGAGGTCCCAAACTTATGTCTTTTCACTACTCCTAGCACTACCATGGCCAGAAAACACTTAAGTGCAAATCGGCTTGAATCGGCTTAAATCGAGGCCTGGATTCAAGGTTCCCTGGAAAAGTTTGGCCTGGATTCTTGAATGTTGAATCTTGAATCCAGTCCCGATTTAAATTTAAATCGGTTCAAATCGGTTTAAATCGAGCCTGAAGCTTCCCGAATGTCCATGGACATGTGTCTTTTTCATTGCTTTCCCGGAAGCCCAAAAAAGGGTAGAACACATTGCACATACCAATAAATTCTTCAAAAAGGTAGGTCCCGGGGGGGGTACCATATATATATATATAGATAATACACCCTTCTGGGCCGTTGCTCGGCCCCTACACGGAGGCTTGTAGATAGCATTAGACATGGCTAAGCATGGAGAACCTTGCCGTGAAACCACACTGACCAACATACCAGCTTGAAGATGTGGCCTTGATGCCTCAAAGATTTGACCTGGAACTGGCGCCGGTGGCGCCATGTCTCATGGTACATGAGGCCTTGGCTGCTTGCAACTGAGGGCGCCACGGATTTGAAGAACCTTTGGGGCAATTCCCGAAGCAGGGAGTGGAATTTCCTATCCCATGGCCCTCCGGTCAAAGGGGTCCACTTGAGTTCCTCTATGTTTTGCAAATTGCCCATTTGGAGCCCCAAATTTGGGGGATGTGTTGAAAATCAAAGGAACACACCGCATTTCGAGGTAGGTGTGACTGCGCGTTGGTTTGCTTCATGGCTGTGCTCGAGGCGGAAGCCCAATTTCCTGGGGATGTGGCTAGATGACATTTGTGGGGTATACTGTGGGCCATTACACACACAACTGGGTACATGACAACAGCCCTTGAACATGGGGCGTTGTTCTTTTTGTAGTTGGGCAGATCTTCAATCGGACAGGCGTCCTTCCCACTTTGGCATCTCAAGGCCTATGTTCCACAATGTCAGATGGAGTGTTTTGGTAGAAGACATCAATTTGACGTTTCCCTGGGGGGCCTATTTGTCACACCTTTGTTGTGGGTGGGGGGGAGGGAAGACATTTGAAAGCCTTCCGAAGCTGTCTCCACTAATGTTGAGCTGTAAGCCGCCGGGTAGTCAGAAGGGCACTGGGTTGAAGTCGGAGGGCTTGTAATGAGTGAGCCACCCCTTGATGGGGCAAATGCCAGAACACGGTGCCGGATTCGGATTTGGAGATGCAGTGCATGGTTCTGGCAACTTGGGTTTCAAGTTTGCTGAGAAGCAAGGAATCCCCTGTAAAGTGATAAATGTTTTATAGTTGGGAATCTCACTTCGGTATTATAGCAATGGTGATTTCAACCGCCACCACGTTCAGCACCGAATGAGTTTGTGTTTTTGTTGACCCCTTTCCCAGCTTGAACAACGCCTCTGGCTTTTTGTCGGGGGGCTCGGTCGGTTCTGGCTGAGGATGATTACTTCTGCTTCCCTCTTTGGGACTTCCAGTGGAACAGCGCCCCGACTTCCAAGCCGACCCATGGGGGGGTTTCGTTCCAGTGAGTCGATCGAAATGAGTGCCCTTTTTAGCAGAGAAACCCAAAGGGAACAGGCAGTTCTTAGGGTCCCCCCGCGTTGAGCAACGTCATGGGGCAAAATCGGTTTAACGCGATAGCCATGGCCTTTCTTAAAAAGAAGCCATTTTTGGAGGCTGACATGATGATCGGTTTGAACATGCCACAGGTGGAGTCGCCGCGAGAATATATCCTTTGTGTCCCATTCTGGGGAAACCACCTGATGGGATTCATCAAACGAGCTTGCAATGAACATCCTTGGATCCAACTCTTATTGGTTTTGGACTCACACGATGTGCAGATGGCTTTTCTCGGTTCCTGTTGTTTGTCCCTTAAGAACCAGCCAAAAGGGGTCCAGGATGTACAGTGGATCAAAATTCTCTCTTCCAGCCAGTTTTTCCGGAATACAGTGGACGTGTCCGTTTCTTTCTTGTGGAGAGACACCAACTAGTGCCCCAAAATGGATCACCCCAATGTGTTGAGAATGCCCTTTTGCTTGTTTTGTTTAAGGGAAACTCAATGGCGAAGCCTCCCCCCGTTCTGAACGGGAGTCCAATTTTCGAGACAATCCCATACAACGCTATCGTGTGAGGGATTGATAAGTTTATGGGCAGCCAAATTCTAGGGTCGAAGCAACTCAGCGTCAAAGCAACTCAGCAACTCAGCGCCAAATTCTAGGCCGCGACCCAAGGCCAAATGGATAGAGCACGGCTCTACTGTGTCCACACTGTGATGCGATGGTTCTGCTTTTGAAGTTGGTCCTTTTTGGGGTCGGTTTTAACAGGCCATGGTGTTCCTCTAACAATTTGCGGTTTCACGCAACAGACCCATAGGGTAGTGATTTGTGTTTGTACAATATCCCAGGCTGTTGCTGCTGATGTTGTTCCGTCAGTAGTCTGCCTTGCTGCTTGCCTGTTTGCCTGCCTACCTACCTGCTTGCCTGCCTGCCTGCCTGCTCGCCTGCCTGCGTGCTTGCTTGCCTTCTTGCTTGCTTGATTGCTTGCTTGCTTGCTTGCTTGCTTGCTTTCCTGCTTGCTTGCTTGCTTGCTTGCTTGCTTGCTTGCTTGCTTGCTTGCTTGCTTGCTTGCTTGCTTGCTTGCTTGCTTGCTTGCTTGCTTGCTTGCTTGCTTGCTTGCTTGCTTGCTTGCTTGCTTGCTTGCTTGCTTGCTTTCCTGCTTGCTTTCCTGCTTGCTTGCTTGCTTGCTTGCTCTGTTGTCTGTTTGTCTGTCTCTCTGTCTCTGTGTCTCTCTGTCTCTTTGTCTCTTTGTCTCTCTGTCTCTCTTTCTCTCTGTCTGTTTCTTTGCTTGCTTACTACCTGTCTTGCTAGCTTTCTAGCTTGCTTGCTTTCTTGCTTTCTTGCTCGCTCGCTCGCTTGCTGGTTCTCTCGCTCGTTCGCTTGTTTGTTCGTTTAGTCGGTTGGTCAGTCGGTCGGTTGGTTGTTGGCTTGGGCGGTCGGTTGGTTTGTTGTTTGTTTGTTTCTTTGCTGTTTGTTTGTTTGTTTGTTTGTTTGTTTGTTTGTTTGTTTGTTTGTTTGTTTGTGTGTGTTTGTTTGTTTGTTTGTTTGTTTGTTTGGTTGGTTGGTTGGTTGGTTGGTTGGTTGGTTGGTTGGTTGGTTGGTTGGTTGGTTGGTTGGTTGGTTGGTTGGTTGGTTGGTTGGTTGGTTGGTTGGTTGTTATTTGTTTCATTGTTACCTTGTTTGCCTCTTTTTTGTTGGGTTTGTTTATGGCTGTGGCATGTTTGTTGGATTTACAAACTGAAACCTCATGCTAGTGGATCCCTTGAACTCGGCAAAGACCTGAAACCTTGTCAGTACGTCGCGCGCGTCGTTTGAGGCGCCATGCGCTGCCCGGTGTGGTGCACGGCACAGCAGGAGTACTGCTACGTGGACAGCCGGGACGCCCTATCCCATGGCAGGCGGTTTGGGCCTATGGCAAGGTTAGACACAATGAATTGTGACTTTGGCTATGCATTTGGAAGGCAGCCATTGCAACTTGCCAGTGACTAGTATTGACTAGTAGCTCGTTCCAGTTGGAATCCAGCTGGTGGTTGGCAAGGAGCCGTTGCGGAGCTGGGGGTATCCAATTTTGTTTTTTGAAAGAGCCAGCCAATTAGGAATAGATTAGCCACTTACCAGCGATCATATTTGATTAGCTTGTTGGGGACATTTTAGGCCATGACCTTCCTGTTTGACTTTCTTGCTAGCTTTGAACCAGTGTTAGATGTGAAGTGTTTGATGGCCCACTGACTTGCCTTTCTTCCAACAAGTACCTCTTCGACCAGTTTTACCATTCCCGTTTCTTGAGTTGCATTCTTGTTAGGGGGGAACTAATGAATCTCAAGGGGGCCATTTGCCCTTTGCAGGGATGGGTACTTTGTAAAATACTTGGACCCGAAGAAGTAGAACAAGGGTCCAACGGTCGGCTCAGTATGCGGAGCGTCTAAACCCTACTATCATTCTATGGCATGCCATCACACTCGACCGGCCCTGGGCTAGTTCGATGCTTGCAGAACATGACCATTTTTTTGCGCGGCTTTCCTGGCTGTACTTCCCCATTTTCAGGAATCCTTTCTTTACCAGAGACCTATTGAGTTTGGGCTTCTGAAAAAAGTGAGAGATTAATATGTGAAACTCTTTGTGACACGGCCGGCAACCCCAAACAAAGACGCAAATCAACGTGTCTTGAGGATGGAATCGAATCTCATATCACGAAAGGTAGCCTCAAGGAGGCTAGCTTGAGTTTGTCCTTGCACTAGCAAGGCTAGACTAAGGGGGTCTGGGGGTTGGCCCGGCCGCAAAACCAATGAAATATCGGCAGCCCCCCCCTCTCCCCCCTGGTCCGCCCTCTGGCCCCTTTGCCTGATTGGCAGCTTCGCTCCTTTTCCCGGTCTTCTCGCTCCTTTTGCTCTTGTGTTTCAAGGCTGGTCCTCGTCAAGTCGTAGTGTCCGAAGTTGATATGAGACACTCAGTGCACGTCTGCTTCATAGTGGGATATAGTTGGCTATGCACAATGCAGTGATGAGGGTACCTCAGTTTTCGCATCACCTCCAGACTTTGTCTCGGGGACGTTCAGATGTTTAGGGGAATCGCTATACGGTATCCTACCTTTCGTGTCTCCCCTTCTCAAGTGGGCCGCTGGTTGGGTGTGGGGTGTCTCGGTTTTCTTTAAGAAGACTTGAACCCAGTCGTCCCCAGCTGCAGTTAGTCCCGATTTCGGATGGTCAAAAGAGGCTGACTACAGTCAATTCTGGTGAAAAGTTGTTTCACACTTACGGGCATGTCTAAGAATGCGGGACCCCCAAAATGGTTGGCGTTTCTTTAGGTTTCCCTTCAAACCAACCTCCCTCAAAAAGGACACCCACTTACCCACTTGGTTTATGCGCGTGGTTTAATTCTGGAACAGACAGGACAGCCCGTGTTCCACCAGCAAACCCAAGCGGCATGCCTTGAGGCTATGACGCCAAGGGCAATTGGCTGAGTGTGGAGGAAACCTGTGCGCCTGAGCCAGACATGGGGAGGTTCTTTGCTCACCAGACCTGCAGTGGTGGTCTTTTGTCCTCGTTGTGTCCTGAAAGGGTTTGCCTCTCAATTCGCAACTAGTCCGTTTGGTGATGTGTATATATATATATATAGATATATACACATGAATATAGAGTTATTTGCCCAGTTCCTTTTGGCATGGAGCATGCCGCAACCCGGGATTTATGGACCGCTGGCTGCTAATGTTGGGTGTGCTGTAATTAATAGCCCTTGTCCCCCTGGAACAGTGCTAGCAGTCCAGCGGGGGTCCTCTTTAGTGGAAAGTCCGGGTCTGGGTTCAAATTCAACTTGCCAGTATGAAGTTTAGTATTGCGAATTCCAAGTTCAGTATTGCCAAGACTTACTCTCAGATTCCCAGTACTTGATTTAGTGTTGCCAATTCAACATTTAGCGTTGCCAATGATTCACAGTGCATACTTTAGTATTGCCTATTGCCAAGACTTACTTTTGGATCCCTAGTAGCCAAATTGGTTCCAAGACTTGCTGCAAATTGACTCTACTTGACTGGGTACTGCCTGTTCTTAAATTAGTATTGCTAAGGCTTGAACCTTTGAGCTGAGCTTAGATGCATCCTTGAACACTAAAAGGCTGTAAGGGTTGTCTCGAAAACCGGAACTTCGAAACAGTCCGATTGAACCGAATCAGGGCCGCTTGCAAGGTGCCCCTTTTGCGTGACTCTTTGGTTTGTGCATATATACATTATATGTATATATATATATGTATGTATGTATGTATGTATGTATGTATGTAATGTAATGTAATGTAATGTAATGTAATGTAATGTAATGTAATGTAATGTAATGTATGTATGTATGTATGTATGTATGTATGTATGTATGTATGTATGTATGTATGTATGTATGTATGTATGTATGTATGTATGTATGTGTATGTATGTATGTATGTATGTATGTATGTATGTATGTATGTATGTATGTATGTATGTATGTATGTATGTATGTATGTATGTATGTATGTATGTATGTATGTATGTATGTATGTATGTAATGTATGTATGTATGTATGTATGTATGTATGTATGTATGTATGTATGTATGTATGTATGTATGTATGTATGTATGTATGTATGTATGTATGTATGTATGTATGTATGTATGTATGTATGTATGTATGTATGTATGTATGTATGTATGTATGTATGTATGTATGTATGTATGTATGTATGTATGTATGTATGTATGTATGTATGTATGTATGTATGTATGTATGTATGTATGTATGTATGTATGTATGTATGTATGTATGTATGTATGTAATGTATGTATGTATGTATGTATGTATGTATGTATGTATGTATGTATGTATGTATGTATGTATGTATGTATGTATGTATGTATGTATGTATGTATGTATGTAATGTAATGTATGTATGTATGTATGTATGTATGTATGTATGTATGTATGTATGTATGTATGTATGTATGTATGTATGTATGTATGTATGTATGTATGTATGTATGTATGTATGTATGTATGTATGTATGTATGTATGTATGTATGTATGTATGTATGTATGTATGTATGTATGTATGTATGTATGTATGTATGTATGTATGTATGTATGTATGTATGTATGTATGTATGTATGTATGTATGTATGTATGTATGTTGTATGTATGTATGTATGTATGTATGTATGTATGTATGTATGTATGTATGTATGTATGTATGTATGTATGTATGTATGTATGTATGTATGTATGTATGTATGTATGTATGTATGTATGTATGTATGTATGTATGTATGTATGTATGTATGTATGTATGTATGTATGTATGTATGTATGTATGTATGTATGTATGTATGTATGTATGTATGTATGTATGTATGTATGTATGTATGTATGTATGTATGTATGTATGTATGTATGTATGTATGTATGTATGTATGTATGTATGTATGTATGTGTGTATGTATGTATGTATGTATGTATGTATGTATGTATGTATGTATGTATGTATGTATGTATGTATGTATGTATGTATGTATGTATGTATGTATGTATGTATGTATGTATGTATGTATGTATGTATGTATGTATGTATGTATGTATGTATGTATGTATGTATGTATGTATGTATGTATGTATGTATGTATGTATGTATGTATGTATGTATGTATGTATGTAATGTATGTATGTATGTATGTATGTATGTATGTATGTATGTATGTATGTATGTAATGTATGTATGTATGTATGTATGTATGTATGTATGTATGTATGTATGTATGTATGTATGTATGTATGTATGTATGTATGTATGTATGTATGTATGTATGTATGTATGTATGTATGTATGTATGTATGTATGTATGTATGTATGTATGTATGTATGTATGTATGTATGTATGTATGTATGTATGTATGTATGTATGTATGTATGTATGTATGTATGTATGTATGTATGTAATGTATGTATGTATGTATGTATGTATGTATGTATGTATGTATGTATGTATGTATGTATGTATGTATGTATGTATGTATGTATGTATGTATGTATGTATGTATGTATGTATGTATGTATGTATGTATGTATGTATGTATGTATGTATGTATGTATGTATGTATGTATGTATGTATGTATGTATGTATGTATGTATGTATGTATGTATGTATGTATGTATGTATGTATGTATGTATGTATGTATGTATGTATGTATGTATGTATGTATGTATGTATGTATGTATGTATGTAATGTATGTATGTATGTATGTATGTATGTATGTATGTATGTATGTATGTATGTATGTATGTATGTATGTATGTATGTATGTATGTATGTATGTATGTATGTATGTATGTATGTATGTATGTATGTATGTATGTATGTATGTATGTATGTATGTATGTATGTATGTATGTATGTATGTATGTATGTATGTATGTATGTATGTATGTATGTATGTATGTATGTATGTATGTATGTATGTATGTATGTATGTATGTATGTATGTATGTATGTATGTATGTATGTGTATGTATGTATGTATGTATGTATGTATGTATGTATGTATGTATGTATGTATGTATGTATGTATGTATGTATGTATGTATGTATGTATGTATGTATGTATGTATGTATGTATGTATGTATGTATGTATGTATGTATGTATGTATGTATGTATGTATGTATGTATGTATGTATGTATGTATGTATGTATGTATGTAATGTATGTATGTATGTATGTATGTATGTATGTATGTATGTATGTATGTATGTATGTATGTATGTATGTATGTATGTATGTATGTATGTATGTATGTATGTATGTAATGTATGTATGTAATGTATGTATGTATGTATGTATGTATGTATGTATGTATGTATGTATGTATGTAATGTATGTATGTATGTATGTATGTATGTATGTATGTATGTATGTATGTATGTATGTATGTATGTATGTATGTATGTATGTATGTATGTATGTATGTATGTATGTATGTATGTATGTATGTATGTATGTATGTATGTATGTATGTATGTATGTATGTATGTATGTATGTATGTATGTATGTATGTATGTATGTATGTATGTATGTATGTATGTATGTATGTAATGTATGTATGTATGTATGTATGTATGTATGTATGTATGTATGTATGTATGTATGTATGTATGTATGTATGTATGTATGTATGTATGTATGTATGTATGTATGTATGTATGTATGTATGTATGTATGTATGTATGTATGTATGTATGTATGTATGTATGTATGTATGTATGTATGTATGTATGTATGTATGTATGTATGTATGTATGTATGTATGTATGTATGTATGTATGTATGTATGTATGTATGTATGTATGTATGTATGTATGTATGTATGTATGTATGTATGTATGTATGTATGTATGTATGTATGTATGTATGTATGTATGTATGTATGTATGTATGTATGTATGTATGTATGTATGTATGTATGTATGTATGTATGTATGTATGTATGTATGTATGTATGTATGTATGTATGTAATGTATGTATGTATGTATGTATGTATGTATGTATGTATGTATTAAACAACACAAGGAAGGTTTGGTGGCCACTTCAATCACAGGACATCCTAACTTTCGCACCAATTTGCGATGATTTTTGTGCCCGTCTTTTCCCAGCTTTAGTTTGCCCGGTTGTTTTAGCACGAATTTGTTCCCGGCAGAAACGCTTTCTGTTAAAGCGAGCCTCTGAGCTTCTGAATTAGGATAGAACGCTTTGTATAAAGGCGACCCCAATTGCAGAACAGGCTATGCTGAATGGCCCAGGAGTTATTTGCGTTGGCTTGGGGCCCTGCGTTAGCTCGAACCTTCCTTGGCTGTCAGGACGAGAGGCACCTCCCTGCAGCAAACACAACCTGGGGTATGTGCAAAACAAGAAGTAAGCACTCGTTGTAACACCCACAGTCTCAGATTGTTTTTTGGGAGATGAATGCGTCTCTCTTCTAATTTTATGGCAAGAAGAAGCTATCACACCTCTTTTTGGGGAGCACCCTCTTTTCGCGGGGGGGGGGGGGGGGGGGGGCGGAAGGCTTGGGCTTGGCGAGTCCCCTCTTTCAGGGCATTTAATATGTACCGGGGTATGCGAGACAGACAATTGATCCAGGTTTATAAACTTGTTTGCCAGCCTGTGCGAGTCTGATACATGAATCATAGAAAAGCACAGGATGTTCCATTCCTCGAACATGAATCACAATAATCACTTGTAGGTAAAGGATGTATACGCTCCCTCATTTTTTGTTTAGACCCATACGCGGCCAATTGAAGCTCGTGTGCAGCTCGAAACCAATCCCAAGGTTTTGGTCGCAGACTGTTAAACAGGTTTAGAGCAATGTGAGCGCCAGTAGTTTACTCACTCCCCGAGTTCCGAGTTCATCTGATTCCAATTGAGCCAATCTACTATCATTCTGTTGATTGGACAGAAATCCGCATAAGATGATATCCACCAATGGACCAACGGCTCCAAAATTAAGATACATGCCCGCATTTGCCTTTGCTTGCCATTTTGGTATGTTGCCATAGTTATTATTTCAAATTCTATTGCTGTCCCTTTCTTGCCTATCATGGCAACTACAAGCACTGGTTTGCCAATCTTCCGGAGTTCGACCACCACAATGGGGGGGGATGGAGTGGAGTTGCTTTTTTTTCTCCGAAAGTGGGCCAGGAGACAAACCCAGTTCTATCGGCTTTCATTTCGGCTCGCGAACGCGGTTTTGAGGTGAATCCTGGTGAAACCTGCGACTGCACCAAGGGTCAGAATGCCTTCTCCTGCACCATGACGGACCGAACCAGAAGCCTTCCACCCGTCACCAGCCGAATCGGCCTGTGCCAACTACAAGGTCAGTGATGAAATCATGAAGGTCTTTGGTGATCCCTTTCGTTGTTGGAATCGTAAACCACTCGCAGATGTTTTGTATTACGAATCTTCCTGGAACCTCAAACAGCAAAGAGTCGTTGAATTGAGAGGCGACATCCCCTGAAAATGACGGGTGAATCAGCGTGGATCAAAATCGTTCTCCAAAGGTGAACAGTTTGCTGTCTGCGGTTTCACACCATTGATCATCCACGTGATTACTCTTGGGCTCCCATTGGGGGTGTCTCGTTTTGGGGGACCCCGTGCTTTTGAATTGCCTTTAAACCACCCAAAAGGGGGTTCTCAAAAAAAAGACACACCCATTTGGTTGGATGAACTTGTTGAAGACAACCTTGTGTGCTTGTACTGCCCAAGCAAACTTCAAACATGTCGAGCAGGGGTGCAATAGCCATCAATCTGCGGTGGACGCCACAAGACAAGCCCCGGCAGCCCAAGTTGCAACATTCAAGTTTTTGGCTTGCTGAGCGACTTTGTAGGTGTTGAAACGGCTGAATCAAAGGCAAATGAACACTTCTATTTTCAGAGTTTGTGGGTTCAGCAGAAAGAGGCCAAAGCCAATACAAGGATAGTGGAGGCTTGGGGTTATTCCCAGCCAGCTTGAACAACAGAAGGCTTGTGTACTGTACTTCCTTTTCCGCATTTGGATAGGCGCCGTTGGCACCGCGTTTTGTCTGCGTGCTAGGTGGGGGCACCTGTGTGTATTCCAAAGGCAACCGGAGGAACTGCTGGGTGTCTTCGTTGCGGCAAACATGTTTTGCAGCAAATGATTCTCGCCCCCGGCTAGCCATGAAAGAAGCTTATGGTAGGGTCTGAGGCAAGTGTTTGTCCACGGTTTCCTTTTTAATGTAGCAGGGCTGTTGCAAACCCAGGGCTCAGCACGTGAGCCGTCCAAGATATGCGGTGATCCCAAGAAGCATAGCAAACTGTTTGTGGCTCAGGTCCGCCCCAAATTGGCAAAAACAAAAACGATGGGGAATCGCGGAAAGGTTGGGGCGTGAGGGTGGACACCTTCTCGTTCTCCCCAGACTCTAGGTCTGGCAAGCTCACGGATTCGGGGCAAAATGAGCCGCATGTTGGGTAACTACTTTGGGATCCCAGATTTCAGGAAATGGGATTTACTGTAATATTTGCGGATTAGGTGCCATACATGAAGCATTTACTAGTTGAGTGCAACGGTCCAGTGTACGATTTTGGACAAGCCGTTGCACAGCTGAGGTAGGCAGTTAGCATTGGCGCAGATGGTCTTGTACCCTTTCATACGCTTTTGATTTGGATGCGTCCATCAACCCGGTTTTAGACAACCATTGTAAGGGCGAATCTGGCTTCCATGCGATTCATCATGTCATGTGTTCATTTGCCCCTAAGGTGCCAAAGACAAACCCCCCTGGATATGTCTTCAATGTTGCCTGACCTTCTCTTGGTCAGAGCTTTTACAGACCCAGCAACTAGGGGCCATCAAACGTACGATTGCCGCCATCCTTCGGGTGCCAAATCCCGCCAGGACGGAGTCAGCACCTGGTCGGAGTGCCTGCCCATCAACGGAGGCACAAAAGCCGGAGTCTGGTTCTCCGAGAGTCTTCATCTTGCTGGTGAGGGCATGAACCCAGGCGTCCCCTTGAAGGAAACCACAGGGGATGGTTTATAGGGGTCCATTCCCACATTCCTTACTGGGTGGGCTAAGTTTGCTCTGGGCAGTGGGTGGGGGTTGCTCCAAGCAAAGCCTCAACCAAACAACGGGGAAGAAAATGGGGACTTGGGACTTTTCTTGAATTCGTTGTCTTTTTGATAGAGCTTTGGGAAATCAGCAACTTCGCCCACAGAGTACTTTCTGCCCAGTTGTTCAGTTGTAAATGCTATATGGGCGTGGGTCAACACCAATGGTACCATTGTGGGGTAGGTGCCCCACTCATTTTTAGTCTATTTCAGTGGGGATTGGGATGTTCACCGGGGGTACGATTTGGATTTGGACCCATGGCCATATTGCCTTTCAAAAGGATTTGATCGCCGGCGTGGAATGAATCCTGTGCGCATCTGTGGGAATGGAGAGGGGGCTCGGTTCGGAGGGGAATTTGGTACAAAAAAAACGGGGCCCAACCAGCCAGAGCCGTGGGTTCAGCAAGGCCTCAGGCGTATTTTTCCGAAATATCGAAGTGGACAGGCCCTAAAATGGCAGTCTTCCAAAACGGTTTTTCCTATGAGAGGGAATGGGAAGGAAGCACCCGTGGAACATTGGGTCCTTTTCGTGCCCAACTTCCCATTTCGCACCCCGCGAGCTCGGAGCGCTCGGAAATTCGGATCTCTGCTGGGGTTTTAAAGGAAAGCCAAAAGGAGAACCACCATTTTGGGGGTCACTCTTGACACCCAATGTATTGCAGGGAAGCACCTCAAAGTGGTTGATGCCCACCAAAGGCTTCCATTTGCAAGAATATGTTTGTACTGCCCCCTGTTAGCTTTAAAGGGAATCTATCACCACGGGAAATATGCTCATTTTTCCCAGGGGACAGCGAGCCGAATTCCAGGCTACTGCCCCCCGTCGTGCGCGGCCAACGAAGTCCCTTGCTTCGAAGTGGAGATGCTCGGCACGAATTGTTTGCGAGGCCACCTTCTGCGTTTGTCCGGAATCCCCAGCTTCTCAGTTAAGTGATAGTCGGGTGGGGTGGGGTGGGCTAATCAAACAAGCCAAAGTCAGTATGAGCAACATGAATCATTGATATGTGATAATATGTTTTAGTATCACTATCGTGTGGCTCACATGATAATGCCGTTGAGTTACATAGTTATATATACACATATAATATAGCGATTTCAAAAAAAAATCGCCCGCCAGAAAGCAAGGTTTGGCGTACGCTCGATCCTTTGTGGACGATGCGTGTCGTCTTGGAGAGAAAGGGAGGGTTCCTGTGCACCTTAAAGCAGTCCAAGTCATGTCATGAGCAACATGTCAGTAATTGTTTAGACAACCGCATGACCTGCTTGAATCCTCACCAGCTAAAAGTCAAGGTCCCCAATAATAAACAATGCTTTTCCAGAACTCGGAATCCCTGAATATGAAATTAGGGTTGATCAAGGCAAAACCATTTCCAAGTTTCCTACCAGGTCCAACCCCAGCCGTATTAGGACCCCTTCAAGCCAGTTCCAAAGCAACGTTGAGCAGGCAAGTGCATTGTTGATCTTTCCCTACCTTTTCAAGGAACATCAGGGAACTACTTATTATACTTGGTACTTCCGAATAATCAGCTTCCGACCAATTCAGCGGGTGGGGGTGTCAGCCACGGTTTGGAGGAGGTACCTTGGTGGGAAACTCCCCAGTTATCCAGGCTGATGAATCCGGAGTCGGTAACCTTTTCAACCTTTTGGACATGGATTGCTTCTCAGTACCAAGAGCTGCACTGTGTGGGGTCTGACCAACCAGGGGAAGACTGCTAAGGGATTTGTCCTTCAAAAGGAGCGAAAGCTTTGCACGTGGTGGCCTATATTGTCAGTCCCATGTTAATCTGCAGAAGAGGAGTGTGGGTGCAGGTGTGAACGCTCATAAGACAAAAAGCTAGTAAGGCAGTATGAACACAGGGACCCATGTCCTGATCTTATGTGGGCCAACTGTACCTGTTGATTGGGTATGGTAGCCGATTGTTGCGCACTGTGCATGGCTGGTCTTTGATGGCACCTTAGCCCCTCAGAGCTTTTGGAAACAAACAGCTTTTCCATTGAACCTACAACATGAGACCCTCTTTTTTCAGGGGGGAAGAGCAAGCCAGTACTAACTTGGACCCCCCCCCAAAAAAAAACAACCTGTTGTAGTTCTAAGAGTATGGAAGGGAGTGTAAAGCATGTGTGTGTGTTTTTGTTTTCCCCAGCGTCGCACCGCCAAATTTCCTTCTCGGCCCAGGAACTTCAGGCCCAACGGCACCTCCATAGGCGGAACAGTTGGGTCGTTGGACACCACCTGATCTCATCTCAGCTTCCCGCGAGTTGCTAGTAGTTTCCCCCCCCCCCGAAAATCGGCCCTACCCAGGTGCCTGGTTTCCTCTTTGGTGCCCCTTTTAAACAAAAATCCAAAACGGATGAGACAGACCCGATTGGTGCTTTGTATTGGTTTGGAGCGGAGTGGTTTCCCAGTTTTCCCTCTGCAAGAACCAGGGGTTCAAAACCCCAAACCACAAATATTCTGTGTTCCATTGGTTGGGGGGTTTGGTGGGTATCTAGGGTTTTGCCTTTGGCCTGGCCGAAAGAAAGGCCCTGAATTGATCCACATGTTGCGGCCATAGTCATAGTCAGGGGCCTTTCTCGCGCGCCTTTTCTTTTTAGCGGGCCTGGGCTTGCCCGCTTTTCAAAACGAATGCCCCATGCGTGTGAGAGGCTGCAGCCCAGGGATGTCAAGGACTGCTTTTGGCAACTTGAGGCCTCTGATCATGTCCTGGTGGCCACTCCTGCCCTACCCTGTGGGCTAGCGCATGGAGACTCCCCAGCGAGTGGAAAGCAAGGCCGACTTTTTTTGATGTTCAAGAGCCAACGGCTATGATGCTTTGAGCCAGGCTTTTGGGCCTTCAATCTGCAAGGCCATGGAGCACAGGCACTGTGAAACGTCCCAGTTGGTAGTGGCGCAAGCAGGCGCAGCATTGCCCGTCGCCCTTCAGGTTTTGTGGATCAAAACAATAGTTTCCTTTGGCAGCCTTACTATGAACATCGAGGTTGGAACCATTCCTGTGCAACAGCAAGTTGCGCCACTCGCTGCAGGCTAGCCGTTCTCGCCCAGCCAAATGAAGCACGATTGGGTCGCGTGTTTGTGGGAAATGTGCCGGCAGACACCCAAGCTTCGCCGATCAGAAGCCCGTTTGCACCATGGGCTACCCTAAAAATTGCATCTCCAAACTAAGCCCTTCCTGCTAAGAACGCTTGGCTGGAGCAGTCGCCACTGCTTCTTGGCACACAAAAGGAATAGGCTTGCTTGGAATCATTGAACCAACGGGCTGTGAGCCTGGTAAAGGCCAAAGTGTATCATGAATGATGTGCAAAATCCTGGACAGCGATTTCATGGTTTCATGACAGCACGTGACACCCCATGGCATCACAGCGCAGCACATCCAGGCTGATCAAACATCCAAGCTTTTCGAAAACTGCCTCCTCGCCAATGGACAAGTTGTTTTTGTTAAATTGCCTGTGCTATGCACTTTGTGTTTTGCCGCCCTCCCACCAACAGGCAGAAACAATTTTCATGACATTCAAATTCTGGAGCCTTGCAAATGAACGGTGTTGGACCGGGTTTGAGCCCTCACTTTGCCTGTGATGTGTAGTATGCGCTGTGATGTGGTGCGGTGTGATGTGATGTGTGGTGTGATGCGACGTGGTGCGGTGTGATGTGGCGTGATGTGGTGTGATGTGATGCTATGTCATGTGCTGTGATGTGATATGTTGCTGTGATGTGATGAGCTGTGGTGTGATGAGACGCGGCGTGTCAAGATGTGATGTGTTGCGTTGTGATGTGCTTTGCTTGGCAAAGAAAAGGCACCACCAAACAAAAGGACTTTCCTTGGCCAATGAGCTGTTTGCTGCCTACTTGCATTTGGACCAAGCCAAACCAAATCTTGGCGCATCTAATCAAAACTGACCACAACTGTGCCTTGATCAGATTTGATCAGGTTTCATGTTCGTCGGTGTGGGGTTGGGACCAAGCAAAACCAAACCTGATCAGACCTGGTCAAGTCTGATCAAATCTGACCAGCACTGTGTTTTTGATCAAGCTTGATTTTGATTGGTTTGGGCCAAAGGAGACAGCAAACAGTTTATTGCACCAAGGGGGTTGCTGCTGTTGGGCCTTGAGTTCTGAAGATGAAGCAACTCGTTTTTTTTGAGCGGACACAGTTCAGTGTTGAGTTTCCGAGGTTTTGGACTGTTCACGCACAGGGTCTTCCTTTAGAGGAGTCAGGGTTTCAAAATGTTACCTTGTGATTCGCCTCGGCTCCCCTACCAGGAGGTACAAACACAGTAATGTGTTGTGCTATGATGTGCTGTGATGTGATGTGGTGTGTTACGCTGCGCTGTAATGTGGCGCAGCGTGGTTTTAATTGCTGTGATGTGGTGCGGTATGATGTGATGGGATGTATTGTGACGGCGATGTGATTTGTGTTGATGTGTTTCGCTGTGATATGACGTGATAAAATGTGATGTGATGTTGCCATGTGGTGCGGTGATGTGTTGTGTTGTGATGTGCTGCGCTGTGATGTGGTGCAGTGTGATGCGATGTGGTGTGGTGTGATCCGATGCGAGGTAATGTTGCGTGACGTGATGGGTTGCGCTGAACTGTGGTGTGGTGTGATGTTGTTTGGTTTGGTGGTTTGGTGTAACGTGATGTGATGCAATGTGATGTGATGTGGTGTGAGTTGCTTTGATGTGATGTGTGCTGCTACACTGTAATGTGATGTGATGTGATGCGATGTGTTGTAATGTGGCATACGGTGATGCGGTGTGATGTCACGTGATGTGGTGTGGTGTAGTGTGATGTGATGGGTGTGATGTGATGTGTTTTGGCATGTACTGATAAGGTCATCTTAGGTGATGTGTTGTGGTTTTATGTGCCGTGATGTGATCTGGTGTGGTGTGGTGTGATGTCATGTGCTGCAATCTGATGCGATGTCATGTCATGTGATGTAGTGTGATGTGGTGTGATTTGGGTTCATGTGTGTGTTGTTGTGCTGTGATGTTGTCTTGTGGTGCGTTGTGTTGTGTTGTGATGCGACTTGTCGTGTTGAGATGTGGTATGGCGGGATGGGGTGTGTTGTGATGCAATGTGTTGTGGTGTGGTGTGCTGTGGTGTAATGCGATGTGATGCGGCGAGGTGTCAAGTGGTGTGGTGCGGTGGGCCTAGTGCAAACAGCAACCTTTCAAGAAGGACTGGTGCAGAAGCACTCAGCCCTTGAGCTGGCCTTTGCAAGAAAACGGTTCAGATTGTCTAGAACTTCTTTTCGTGCACTATTGATGTGTTCATTTATTGTGTGTTCATTTATTGTGCTTGGCACAAAAGCTAGTTTTTATTTGATTGTGATATTTGATTTTATTTTGAACCAGGGCCCTATTATTAAATTCTATTGGAAACCGCCCTTCAATCGACCAATTTTCAGCAAAGTTGATCGAGACTGTCTGTTGGAAGAAAGAAAGGAAGGGCTGGGGAAAGGCGGCTGAAACCCAATTGTTTTGCGACACCGCATTCCGTTTATGATATTTTGTGACGAGCCCGAACGTTGCCATAGGTGTTTGTGACGAGCGCAGGGGTTACATAGGTGTTTTGTGACGAGTCAGCCCCGTGACATAGCATTTTGTGACGAGTTCGGTCCCGATTCTTCACAAAACATGGTTTGACCAAAAAATGGTGCATTCTTCACAACATGGCCGGCTGACTGAACCCTACGCTTTGTGACGGATTGTGTCCCAGTCAGTCACAAACCCTTTCGGAAATCCCGAAAACTATTAAAATCTTTCGCGGGCGGTTGAAGAATGTTGAAGAGCTCTCCACCTCCGCTACTATTTGTGACGGATGAGGTCCCCATTCTTCACAAACAAGAGGTGTTGGGGATTTGTAAGGATATGTTTTCTTCAGCCCTTCACAAAACGGACCTTTCAAAATACAGTCTTCACAAAACGTGACGTACAAACAAAGAAGATTTCCCAATGGCACCCTCACAAAATGACGGGCAGGCTGTCACTAAACCTTTTTTGTTCAGGCTTTGTTGGCTTGCTGCGTACAATCTGGAGTGCTTCGGCCATTGGGACCCCTTGTTGCCGCAGTCGTCTGGCTGCCCGATACCGATGCCTAGCTGCACGGCTTGGACGCTCGACAAGTAGCCGAAGTTGGTTGGGATCCTCGTGGTGTTGTTTACAGCATTTATTAAGTTTAGGGCCCTCCTTCAATATCGAAATCAAATATCACAATCAAATAAAAACAAGTGTTTGTGCCAAGCACAATCAATGAAACCATGAATAGCGCACGAAAAGAAGTTCTACACAATCTGAATCGTTTTCTTGCAAAGGCCAGCTCAAGGGCTGAGTGCTTCTGCACCAGTCCTTCTTGAAAGGTTGCTGTTTGTTCTAGGCCCACCGCACCACACCACTTCACACCTCGCCGCATCACATCGCATTACACCACAGCGCACCACACCACACCACAACACATTGCATCACAACACATCCCATCCCGCCATACCACATCACAACACCACAAGTCGCATCACAACACAACACAACGCATCACAAGACAACATCACATCACATCATCACACACACACACATGAACCCAAATCACACCAGATCGCAACACATCACACTACATCACATGACATGACATCGCATCAGATTGCAGCACATGACATCGCACCACACCACACCAGATCACATCACGGCACATAAAACCACAACACATCACATAAGATGACATTTTCATTACATGGCGCCAAAACACATCACATCACACCCATCACATCACACTACGCCACACCACATCACGTGACATCACACCGCATCACTTTATGCCACATTGCAACACATCACATCACATGGCATCGCAGTGCAGCAACACAAATCATATCACAGCAAGCCACACCACACAAAATCGCAACACAACATATGACGCCGCAACCATCACAGCACAGCGCATCACAACACAATACATCACCACATCACATGACAACATCTTATCACATCATATCACATCATATCACATCATATCACATCAAGCACGTCGCATCGCCGTCGCAACACGTCACACTACATCACATCAAATCACATTACGCACCGCACCGCATCACGGCAAATGAAACCACACCGCGCCACATCACAGCGCAGCGCAACACGCCACATCAGCGCGCCACGGCACAAACGCACACACACACACACACACATCTGTTTGTACCTCCTGGTAGGGGAAGACCCTACACATGAACATTCCCAAGCTCAGCAAAACTCATCACTGGACCCTGTCAACTCGAAAAACTCGAATAGTTCTATCTTCAGAACTCAAGGCCCAACAGCAGCAAGCCCCTTGGTAAAATAATCTGCTTGCTGTCTCCCTAGGCCCAAACTAAGCAAAATCAAGCTTGATCAAAAACACAGTGCTGGTCAGATCTGATCAGGTTTGATCAGGTCTGATCAGATTTGATCGGCCTGGTCAGATTTGATCTGATTTGGTTTTGCTAGGTCCCAACCCCAAACCAAAGAACATGAAGCCTAATCAAATCTGATCAAGACACGGCTTTGGTCAGATTTGATCAGGATGCGCTAAGATTTGATTTTGCTTGGTCCAAACGCAGCTAGGCAGCAAACAGCTCATTGGCGAAGTGAAGTCCTTTTGTTTGTGGTGCCTTTTTTTTCCAGGCAAAGCGCATCGCGACGCAATGCATCACATCAACACATCGCATCACACCACACCACACCACATCACGTTACAGCGTACCACATCTTGACACACCACATCGCATCACACCACAGCTCATCACGTCGCGGCAACATATCACATTGCAGAACATTATAGCATCGCATCACACCGCATCACATCACACCGCATCACACCCACACCCCCTCACATCACACCAATTAAATTGTACCGCACCGCATCACATCACATCACAGCACATACTACACATCACACCGCATCACATCACACCGCATACTACACATCACAGGCAAAGTGAGGGCTCCAAAAACCGTCCATTTGCAAGGCTCCAATTTTTGAATGTCACGAAAATTGTTTCTGCCTGTTGGTGGGAGGGCGGCAAAACACAAAGTGCATAGCACAGGCAATTTAACAAAAACAACTTGTCCATTGGCGAGGAGGCAGTTTTCGAAAAGCTTGGATGTTTGATCAGCCTGGATGTGCTGCGCTGTGATGCGACGGGGTGTCTCGTGGTGTTATGAAATCATGAAATTGAGTGGCAGGCCGACATGGCCACCCTGGCGCTGTCCAGGATTTTGCACATCCTTCATGACACACTTTGGCCTTTACCAGGCTCACAGCCCGTTGGTTCAATGATTCCAAGCAAAACTATTCCTTTTGTGTGCCAAGAAGCAGTGGCGACTGCTCCAGCCAAACGTTCTTAGAAGGAAGGGCTTAGTTTGGAGATGCAGTTTTTAGGGTAGCCCATGGTGCAAACGGGCTTCTGATCGGCGAAGCTTGGGTGCCTGCATGCACATTTCCCACAAACATGCGACCCAAGCGTGCTTCATTTGGCTGAGCAAGAACGGCTAGTCTGCAGCGAGTGGCGCAACTTGCTGTTACACAGGAATGGTTCCAACCTCGATGTTCATAGTAAGGCTGCCAAAGGAAACTATTGTTTTGATCCACAAAACCTGAAGGGCGACGGGCAATGCTGCACCTGCTTGCGCCACAACCATCTGGGACGTTTTACATTGCCTGTGCTCCATGGCCTTGCAGATTGAAGACCCAAAAGCCTGGCTCAAAGCATCATAGCCGTTGGCTCTTGAGCATCAAACAAAGTCGGCCTTGCTTTCCACTCGCTGGGGAGTCTCCATGCGCTAGCCCACAGGGTAGGGCAGGAGTGGCCACCAGGACATGATCAGAGGCCTCAAGTTGCCAAAAGCAGTCCTTGACATCCCTGGGCTGCAGCCTCTCACACGCATGGGGCATTCATTTTGAAAAGCGGGCAAGCCCAGGCCCGCTAAAAAGAAAAGGCGCGCGAGAAAGGCCCCTGACTATTACCGCAACATGTGGATCAATTCAGGGCCTTTCTTTCGGCCAGGCCAAAGGCAAAACCCTAGATACCCACCAAACCCCCCAACCAATGGAACACAGAATAAATCCAAACCACCAACTAAGGGTTGCCTGATTATTCAGGTCGCTATGTCATTTGGGGGCAATTTGAAGGTCTGGTTTATGTTTTATATAGGGAAAGGCGGATCTTGAAAAAGAATGGGCAAGCTACCACCCAAAGTGGTAAAGGGCCAGATATGGTGATGGGCCCCCCAGCTCGTTTCGGGACACAAAGGCCTGAACTACTGCCACACATCCCTCCGGAACATCCCCAAAAGTCAAGCTTGGCCACAACAACCTTCCCATCGGATCATCACGGATACCAAAAGGAGGTGGCTGAAACATGTTGAGCCATGCTGAAGAAGGATTGTGTGGTTCTGCGATTCCAGGAAGTGAGGTTTCGTTCAGGGGAAAGACGCACCCAGGCGCCCGCAACTTGCGTCGTACTTCCAGTTGCCATCTTCACCTGGCTTTACATTCAGCTTTCACCTGCCTGCCTGATGTGGGTGTGTCTCAAAATGAAGAATGGTAGGTGTCGATTTGGCTCCCTGGAAACCACCCATACAGTGGTTTGCCTGGAAGCACGTGTGTGGAACATTGGGTGCCTTTGAACGTGATCAGGCTGTTACAAGGATGGGAATCAACCCCTGTGGTACAGTAAGCACGAACTTCAATGTGCACCACTGTTACAAATGGCGGGATCCCCATGTCAATTATGTCTAATCGCCGAAAGGTCCTCGCCAAAGGTTCGGGTATTGCTGTTGAGGATCTGGAGGTCATACTGCACTTATACAAGGGACACATAACTGTGCTTTTTCAAATCCACATGGGTATGAAGCTTTATTGGGGCCCATTGGGGGACATCACCATTTAGTTTGGATTTTGTGTCCATCAGCTTTGAGAGAGCTTTGCACTGAGTTTCATATCGGCTGGGTCCCGGACTCAGCGACCGGTCGCTGCTCGAGCTGCGCGCTTGCGCCGGAGGCTTCACAGAGCCGCCGAAGCCGTGCGCGGCAGACTACGAGTCCTGCAGCTGCGGACGAGAGGACTGGCCGTGTCTCCTGATCGCCGAAACCGCAGCGGTCCCAAAATGGGTGGAGGCTTTCAAACGGGTATTTCTCAAAATAGGGAGATCCCTTGGATGGTGCTAAGAGGAAACAAAAAGGACGCCAAGCAACTTTGACCATCAGTGCTGCTTGCTGATTGCCCACCATAGCGGAGACTGAGCATAGTGGGGAGCCATTTGGTTGCATTGCTTTTGGCGTCTAGGTTGAGGGGATGTCATGTGGAACCAACTGAGAAATATGAGCAAATTTGATTGATTCGGGGGAACTAGCTACCGCGTAGAAAGTAACAAGGGCAACCCATCATGTGAAAAAAATACAGGTATCAAAACAACTGGATGCTTATCTCATATGTTTAGAATATGATTTACCGAAAGGGACACCAAACAGGGTAAGTAATTGTTCATTATTTTGCCAGGCTTTGATTGTGCCCGCTCCTGAGAAGGGTAGTGATTTTAGGTTCCAACGGGGAATTGTTCGTTTGCAAATGGTAGTGTTCGAAACTTGGGACCCCTCAACAAGGTTGTTGTTTTGGCTTCAGATCACTTGTATTGGTACACTCTTTGGCAACCCACTTGGTTTTGTTCACACGGCCTACCGAGACAAAGACATGTCACGAGGTGCCTTATTGTAGCATGTCATTGGGATACACTTGGGTGTGTATTTGTTGGAGGGTACCCAATTGGGGATGGTGTGTTCGGGAAACCAAAAGGACAACCGCCATTTTGACGGGCCGTCAACATGTGACGAGCCATACCGATGGGCTTCATTCATTTGCCGACGGGGACCAGGCTGGCTTTTTTAAAGCGTATGGCAGCATATGAAGAAAACATGTTAGATGTTTGGAGTGGTTGGCCACTGGGGTTAGGTGAACTCACCTTGGGATGCTTTTTTGTTTGGGGTACACAGGTCACCAACGGGCAGCAGCAAAAGGCTGGTTTTTCTTGGTTCCCTTAACCCCACCCCCCGGCCCTGCCCACCGAAGTACCTAAGATGCGGGGCCCTGTTTTTGCAACCCCAGACCGAGCTCCATATACCTCCATACCTGACCGTCGGCCTGAAAACAGGCTGCAGAGTCGGGTCCCCGCTGTCTGCCTTTTGCAGGCCAAGAACTGTGGGGGCTGGTGCATCTTCAAGGCGCAACATCGAAGCGCCTGATTGGAACCCGGGTCGCAAAATGGGGGTAAAACGCGCTCAGCCATTCTCAATGTCGATTGTGGGGGTTTCTTGGCTTGTTTTCTGAATACAGCCTTTGACCGCTAGACCACAATCGCTCAATCCAGCATTGCCAGTCGGGGGCCAAGTCATTGCGGCGCATGTGACTCGCCGCTGAGTTTTCCCATCTTGCGAAGCCTCGTGTCCCAATAATGTACATCCAAAAGAGCATGCACACAAACACACTTGCATCCGACCTCATTCGACCTGTACGTTTGTTCAAGCTGTCCAGACAACAGTCATGCTTCTTGACTTGTCCAATGACTACAGCGCTTCCCGAAATTCCACACGAAGCTCATTAATGTCACTACTCGCATGAATTTAAGTGGGTGGATAGTTGAGCATCCAACACCTGCCACTCGGTTTGTACTCGTTGATTCAATCCGCGGTTGACCGTGCGTTATGAGCGGAGGTAATTAGTTGGGTACGTTGTCCTCCGTTTGTTAAAACTTATATTTGGGTAGACTCCATATGGGGTGTTTGTTTGTAAGGGTACCTTTTTGAGGTGGTTTCAAAGGGAAACCAAAAGGAATGCCGCCAGTTTGCGACGTGTTTCTCTGTACCCAAGTGGGCCAAGTGATGGTCGAACAAGTACCAGTCTATGCGTCCCACATTTGGGAGGGGCATGAGAACTCACTAAGTTTAGCTTTCAGGAGCACTGGGCTACAAACAAAAACTGTGGGGTTTTACGCCATGGACCATCACGTGTTGTTGGCACAACCCATATGTGTTTTCGGTGTTTGCGATTTGTTTGCCAGCTTACGGCTAGAAAATGATACGGTTTCTCACCCATGTTGGTTTGGCCCCATACAGTGGATGGACGAAATGCTGCACCAGTGGTGGATGAAGCCACCAACTGGTGCAGGATTAGATCTATGCATCCAGTGTATCATTTTGTTCCATGAGTTCTCTTGTTTCCATGGGCTTGTCCCTTTGGCCATTCTCGGGCTATCGACACCCATTTCGGATGGCGACTGAAAGACTCCATGCCAGGAGGACAACTGCCCGGTCTTCTGCGAGGTTGGAAAGAAGAAGTGCTTCATCGACGACTACGACACCAGCGGAAACTACCTCGGCGTCTTGGAGTGAATGGGTTTCGAAGACCCCCAGAAAAATGGTCGGTGTCCTTGTGACCAAAACGGGAGCCCTTAAATAAAGACCCAAATTGCAATAGATTTGAAGACTTTGAACCTCCTTAAATGTGCTATTGGTGACATAACACCCCCTGAATTCGGATGTCCACCTAAATGATGTCCCTAATTAGAATTCAAAGCCGACTAGGAGCGTGGTTGATTCCGTTTGGCGTCCTTCGGTTTCTCCTAGAAACTACGAGGAGAGAGGTTGTATCTGGGCGTTTTGACATTCAACCCCCAATTGGTTTGGAGCGCTCAAACCCAATCCATTGCCCTTGCTCCTGGGCGACTGAGCCAAGGAAAAAGCCGATGGCCCTCGGCCATGGCAACTGAATCGGTTCCTGTGTGCCTTAAAAACCATGGCAAGAACCTTCCTGCCTTTATGGCCATGTTGGCAGAAAAGTCAATAGATTTAGGGTGCTGGGCCATTTTCGGTACCGAGGCGACCGGGAGGTTTGTGTGGCAGAGGACCAAGTCTGCCCGTGCGGCAAGAACACCTTGCGATGCCCGGGCGATGACATGTGTCTACGAAAGCGCCTCGGAATTGGAGATTGGGCGTGTGCCAACAGATAAAGGACGGTTCCTTCTTATTGTGCTTTCAAGCCCACAAACCCGAACAGCCACAAAGCCCTGTTCGTTGCTCCAGTTGTGTGATTCCATGGCAAGAGCCAGGTCTTAAGTCAAGCCCGAATGTGTCATCCCAGTTGGCTCACAGTGTGGATCAGTGTGGCATTCCTTTCCCCTTTGTTTTGGTGGGTTGCCCACTGAAGGGATCCAACTTTTCTGCTTTGAAGTTGATCCCCTTTTTTTCCGGAGAAGCATGGGATCAACCACATTTTGCTTCCTTTCCGCCAGGGTCAAAGCAAACGCCAGATTTGTGTGTCGCTTGCCAGGAACGGCCCGGCGGTTTGTCTCAGACCGTCGGAGCGGCCTTTAGATGGGAACGGCTTGGCAGACAAACCACTGATTGAACGGGCTGTAACCCATAAAGATCTGCACGTTTGGCAACATCCCCCCAAGCTGACAGGTCGGGGTCAATGCGGTGTTTGTTGCCTGCCGGGCCCCTGCTGGTTGAGCTTTGCGCCAGGATAGATTGAGGCGGATGGCACCTCTTGGTCTTGATTTTCACCAGACTACCAATATACATATATATATACATATATATATATACACATATATATATATACATATATATATATATATATAAGTAATATCATGTGACGTATCAAGTATCTAAAGTATATAAGTATATATGTGTAAGGACTGTATTTTAGTGGCTAGATGCTGGTTATTTACTGTACCAAGCAGTTTCCCTTCGTGATCCAGGCGCGGGGGGGTCAGCGGCAACCCTCACCAATTCTGGAGCTACAACTGTCGGTCAGTGCAGCCCCAATTTCGAGACAACTTGGACAGGGCTTCTTAAAAGATACATTTTGCCCATTTAAAACATGGCTTTTTCCACCCAAATAAAGGGAAACCACCATTTACAAGGCAATGTTCAGGTGTACAATGTAAGGATCCCTGTTGGATGTTGTTGTTCATTTCCCTCGGAAGCACCGGGTGACCAGACAGTTCAACTTTTGGGGTGTAAAGCGGGCCTAACAAGCCTTGCATGAGCTAAGCTGCTCTACTGTTAGACTATTGGTGAGCAGTTGTTATTGGTGTAGCAAGTTGAAGCAATCTGAACACCATACGCATACATGGCAAGAAAAGTCCGCATAAATACAGTTTGGGTCAAACAGCAACAATCATAGTGCACCAAAGGAGAAAACACCAGGAACAACGGAATGATTGGACTTTCGTGCGTGAAAACACGAGGACGTCTTAGGGAACCTCACTAATGTGGGGCCTAGCGCCCGAGGTTTGCTGTTAGCCAGGCTAAGCACCTGGTTCTCCGCAGGTCGGAAGCGGACTTGGTGTGCCCTTGCAGCGAGTCCCAGAAGCAGTGCACTGTGAGGGACTACACGGCACGAGGCCGCGCTTTCACCGGCGTGTTTTCGAGTTGACCCAACGGAAGGGGTGGGTTTGCATGTTAACAGGCGGAGCCAGATGCATTTGCCCATTTGGGGGCAAGCGCCGAAACAAAGAACGACTTTTTCCCCCCTAGGGGCCTTTTGGACCAATTGATCCCCTGTTTCAGAGCTCCCCTGTTTATACTATGGTAGCATATCCCTTGACGTGGGGGTGGGATTCTAACAAGGTTAGTTTCACAGTTTGCTTGAACGACCAGATCCAGCCCCTTTTTTACAGAGGAAACCCAACACCAGTCGTTTGAACAAGACTGGTTTAAACCATACGTAGTTCAAAGGGTATACATCACCTAACCCCGTTTCTACTTGGTAGTTCTCTGCTGGGAATCTTTTGAGGGGCCGGGCCATGGGGGTGTTTTTTTTGTTTGGGGACCCCCGCAATGGCGGTTTTCCTTCTGGTTGTCCCTTGGACACCACAAGAAAGGGTGGCCTCACAAAGACGAGCCCATATCGGCACCGGGTTTGTCCCTAGGGATTTGACTCCTTTTCCTGAGGTCAAAGGGCAAACTCTAGTCGGCGAAATCAGATGGATCGATTTAAGCCACCTGATTTGCCGCCTCCGGATTGGATGAGGTTGCTGGCTTGCTCACCAAGGCCTTCAGCCCACGGGCTTCTCTTAAAACTCAGGGTGTTGGCTGCTTTGGGCGCTTTGGGCGCTTTGGGCGCTTTGGGTTCCTTGGGTTCTGTTCTAGCCCGCCGCCTCGGGCATGTTCGGGTCTGCATCTGTTTCGGAGATGCCTTTCCGCCAGGCAAGCTGGAGAGTGTGTCGACCCTGTGCGTCAACCTTGGCAACAAGTGCCCTTGTGGAAAGAACACGCCCCGCGGCTGAATTGGTTTGATTGGCGGTTTGGCACCGGTGGTTTGTTTGGTTCATTGTTGGTTGCTTGGTGCGACTTGATGGCTTTGGTAGTTTCGTTTGGTTGCTTTTATGGTTTGGTATGTTGGCTTGATTGGAAGTTTGGTTGGTGATCGTTTGATGCTTCACTGATTGGTGTTTGTGGTTCTTCGTGTTGTTGTTGGACAGGTATCAGGTTTTGTTTCGTTTGTTCAACGGTTTTGGTGGCTTGAGCAATTGGAAGCTTGATCTTGCAGAAGTCCTTCCTACGGTGGAGTGGACCGAGGGTACTTCACACAAGTTCTTTGGATTTGGATTTCATCAACTTCTTCGGCCGTTTGTGCCTTTGCTTTTGCCGAAGCCACCAACGCCGGGGTTCCCTAAAATTTCCCAAACTGTGAGGGGTCCTTTCCACATGGACTTGCGTCCTATGGGGGGGGGATCCTTTTTTGGGATGAGAAGCACTTTGATCACCAAAGTCAGCAAGGACAGACCCCCTCACTTTTCTCATGCTAGGGTAAGATTCGCAGTGACCATAGTGCTTTCTGGAGACTCCAGGAAATCTTGCTAGTGGCACTTTGTTTCCCCGTGATTCCAGCCACTGCAATGCCTTAAAAACCAATGGCTGGTAGCCTGTGACATTCAGGGATCCAGGCCTGACTGGAAGCTCTCAATGCCGGAGGGCCGTGGATTTCCCTCCAGATTGATCTCTGTTCGAAGGGCTGGGGGAAGGATTTTTTTTGTTTTTGGTGAGAACGCCCAGACCGTACCCTGCGTTTTTAGCCTTTCTTGACACTTTACATGTTTAGCCAATTTTGACATTTCACAGGTTCGTTTGTTCGCAGGGTTCCGACAGGCGTTGTCACCAATTTCATCGCTCCGCGCAACGCCTCGCACACCCGTATCCACGCCCTGCAAAATGATAAGCACACCCGCTCAAGTGACCCCGCTCAGCACTGCATCCACTGTGCATGTCGGCCTGAGCTATATGGCGGCCTGATGTACAAAAGCTTGGCGAAAACACGAAGTTTCGTTTTCCTGCTTCTTTCAAAAAACGTCATTTCGCCTTGGCGAAACGCATGTCAGGTCCAAAACGACGTGGAGGATTCGAGGCATCCGGAGCATTGTTTTTGGCAGGCGACGTGCGTTTCGCCCAGGCGAAATCACGTTTTGAGGTTTTCGCGCCCGGGGTGAGTTCCTGAAAACGCAAGGTGCGTTACGGGCGTTGTCACCTTGTTTTTGTGGGGACAGAACAGCGCCGAAAAAGAGCACATCTTGAACAGAACAGGACCCGGATGGGCGTTTTCGATGTTCGAGTCCAGGTTTTCCTCAATGTCCCTAACAGAACCCCAAAAACATTGAGCAACTGGGGGAAATCCAGTGACCATGGCATAGGTGTTTTTAATCGTTTATGTTGGTTAGAAACAGATGGTTCCACTGGTTTAGGTTGGTTTTATGCCCCATTTACCAGAGAAACCCATCTATTTACACGCTGACGCGACACAGCCGGCCACCGGGCACCTTGCCCTGCTCGTTCTGTCACTTCCCTTTCCTGTAAGTCCGATTAGTAGATGTTAAGATTTTCAGATTCTAAAAACTTTGAGATTCTAAGGGTCTCAGATTTGAAGACTGTCGGAATTTAAGGTTTCAATGGTTTAAGAATTAAGGTTTTAAGATTCAAAGATTTAAGGTTTTTGAAGGTTATAAGAGCCAGGCCATTGCCCAGCCATTTTCCATCTATTATAAGATTTTATTTTTCGGAGATTTTCAGATTTGGCGACTTTCGGAATTTAAGATTTTAAGATCTCAAGAATTCAAGGCTTCAAAGTTTCAAGATTAAGAGTTTAAGGAATTGAAAATATAGCCCGGATTGAAGGAATTTTATTATATTTTACTTGTTTATGAAGTTAAGATTTTCAGATTGCAATAGTTCGAGATTTAAAGAATTTAAGTTTTGAAAGCTTTTCAGATGCTGAAATTTTAAGACTTTCAGAATTTAGGAACTTTATATTTTTAGATTTTAATATCTGAAGATTCAAAGATATTCGGGTTTTAAGAAATCAAGATTCGAAGACTTTAGGATGTTTATATTTTCAGATTGTAAGATTCGATCTTCTAAGGTTGTAAGTTTAAGATCTTGAGGTTTCAAGATTTCCAAATTTCAAGAGTAAGAGTTTAAGACTGTAGGAATTTCATATTTTAAGAGTTTAACATCGCAAGATTCTAAAACATAAGGGTTTTAAGATTTCAAGATTCGAAGACTTTAGGATGTTTTTATATTTTCAGATTTTAAGATTCTAAGATTCTAAGTTTGAAGATTTTAAGATCTCAAGATTCTAAGATGGATTGTTAGAATTGAATTTAAGATTTTAAGAATCTAAGACTTTAGGATTTTGAGATTTCAATCCAGGCCATTTTCCATCTATTTTCCATCCACTTTAAGATTTTAATATTTTCAGGTTGCACGTTTTCGGCAAAGTTGGCCCGACTTAGGGGACAACATCCCCAGCATCCCCCGAGACTTTAGGATGTTTGTATATTTTCAGATTTTAAGCTTTAGGATTTTGAGATTTCAATCCAGGCCATTTTCCATCCATTTTCCATCCACTTTAAGATTTTAAGATTTTCAGGTTGCACGTTTTCGGCAAAGTTGGCCCGACTTAGGGGACAACATCCCCAGCATCCCCCGAGACTTTAGGATGTTTTTATATTTTCAGATTTTAAGATTCTAAGTTCGAAGATTTTAAGATCTCGAGATTCTAAGATTGATTGTTAGATTTGAATTTAAGATTTTAAGAATCTAAGACTTTAGGATTTTGAGATTTCAATCCAGGCCATTTTCCATCCATTTTCCATCCACTTTAAGATTTTAAGATTTTCAGGTTGCACGTTTTCGGCAAAGTTGGCCCGACTTAGGGGACAACATCCCCAGCATCCCCCGAGACTTTAGGATGTTTTTATATTTTCAGATTTTAAGCTTTAGGATTTTGAGATTTCAATCCAGGCCATTTTCCATCCATTTTCCATCCACTTTAAGATTTTAAGATTTTCAGGTTGCACGTTTTCGGCAAAGTTGGCCCGACTTAGGGGACAACATCCCCAGCATCCCCCGAGACTTTAGGATGTTTTATATTTTCAGATTTTAAGATTCTAAGTTCGAAGATTTTAAGATCTCGAGATTCTAAGATTGATTGTTAGATTTTAATTTAAGATTTTAAGAATCTAAGACTTTAGGATTTTGAGATTTCAATCCAGGCCATTTTCCATCCATTTTCCATCCACTTTAAGATTTTAAGATTTTCAGGTTGCACGTTTTCGGCAAAATTGGCCGACTTCGGGGACAACATCCCCAGCATCCCCCGCATCACCGGCATCATCCGCATCAATGTCCGCCAAGGATGCGGATGATGCAGGTGATGCCGGGGATGTTGTCCACTATGGGCACCCCCCAAAAAACACTCGTTTTTTGACTCCTCGAGGAGATGCTCAAAAAGCCGCCAAAACTCGCCTGAACAAATCCGTAAATCCTTCGCCCCTTATAAGGGCGGGCCCAGCGCAAAAGTATAGCGCATGGTCGGCGCATGGTCGGCGGTGGTCGACGGCACAGGGCGGCCGGCCTTATACCTGAAGGTAGGCCCTGCGGGCCTAGGCCTTCGGCCGTATCACGGACCACGGGGTCTGAAGCCCCCCGGTGGCCGGATTTACACGCTGACGCGACACAGCCGGCCACCGGGCACCTTGCCCTGCTCGTTCTGTCACTTCCCTTTGCTGTAAGTCCGATTAGTAGATGTTAAGATTTTCAGATTCTAAAAACGTTAAGGGTCTCAGATTTGAAGACTGTCGGAATTTAAGGTTTCAATGGTTTAAGAATTAAGGTTTTAAGATTCAAAGACGTAAAGTTTTTGAAGGTTATAACAGCCAGGCCATTGCCCAGCCATTTTCCATCTATTATCAGATTTCGAAGGCTGTACGATTTTATTTTTCGGAGATTTTCAGATTTGGCGACTTTCGGAATTTAAGATTTTAAGATCTCAAGATTTCAAGGCTTCAAAGTTTCAAGATTAAGAGTTTAAGGAATTTAAAGTATAGCCCGGATTGAAGGAATTTTATTATATTTTACTTGTTTATGAAGTTAAGATTTTCAGATTGCATTAGTTCGAGATTTAAAGAATTTAAGTTTTGAAAGCTTTTCAGATTCTGAGATTTTAAGACTTTGAGAATTTAGGAAGTTTATATTTTTAGATTTTAACATCTGAAGATTCAAAGATATTCGGGTTTTAAGAAGTCAAGATTCGAAGACTTTAGGATGTTTATATTTTCAGATTGTAAGATTCGATCTTCTAAGGTTGTAAGTTTAAGATCTTGAGGTTTCAAGATTTCCAAATTTCAAGAGTAAGAGTTTAAGACTGTAGGAATTTCATATTTTAAGAGTTTAAGATCGCAAGATTCTAAGACATAAGGGTTTTAAGATTTCAAGATTCGAAGACTTTAGGATGTTTTTATATTTTCAGATTTTAAGATTCTAAGTTCGAAGATTTTAAGATCTCGAGATTCTAAGATTGATTGTTAGATTTGAATTTAAGATTTTAAGAATCTAAGACTTTAGGATTTTGAGATTTCAATCCAGGCCATTTTCCATCCATTTTCCATCCACTTTAAGATTTTAAGATTTTCAGGTTGCACGTGTTCGGCAAAGTTGGCCCGACTTAGGGGACAACATCCCCAGCATCCCCCGAGACTTTAGGATGTTTTTATATTTTCAGATTTTAAGCCTTTGATCCCGAGATTTCAATCCAGGCCATTTTCCATCCATTTTCCATCCACTTTAAGATTTTCAGGTTGCACGTTTTCGGCAAAGTTGGCCAGACTTAGGGGACAACATCCCCAGCATCCCCCGAGACTTTAGGATGTTTTTATATTTTCAGATTTTAAGATTCTAAGTTCGAAGATTTTAAGATCTCGAGATTCTATCATTGATTGT